TTGCTGTTGTAAGTATAACCCCTGTTGCACCTTTAAAGCTTTAATATCCATGAATCTGTGTTTCTAAGTCAGTTTCAGGTGTTTCTGAGAAAGACTGGTCAGGAAGTGTTCATTCTTGTTTTTTGGTTGTCAGGTTGGAGGTGTTCATTCACATCTCATTTCTAGAGTTCAAAGGGACAAAAGTAGAGTGGGGTGTTTTATGTCCCAGAATGAGATCATGATGACAGTGTTTCCAATGTTCCAGCAGTTCATTGAACCTCATCTTGTTCACGCACACGTTAGTGGACTTTAACTTTCTTAAGTTCAATTGTTGCCATGTTTTAAAAATAAATAAATAAAGTCCATGTAGGTGGTTTCTAGGTTTTGGCAATTTTTTAAGTATGAGCAAGTTTGCAAGTCGTTTTTTTCCTAAGAGAGCTAGTACTTTTATAAGAAATGGATGAACTGATTTTCATGATATGTCCAAGAAACAGAAAAAGGGATTTGTTAAGATTTAAAGAAGTGTTTGAGTTTAAACAATTTTTAAATCCATCCCTTTCTAACAGAGCTGAATACTTTTTAAGATGCAATAGAACTGATTTAGTGATATATTCCAAGAAAACAAAATGTATAATTTATGAAGATTTTTCCAAGGACGACATGCTGATGGGCCCACAATGTCAAATCATTAGACCACTTTTTTGCACAATGGATTGCCCATATTCTTCTGCATGTTTTCCTGTGAACATGCACATTCCAATTTGGATTTTGGAACCAATCTATGGCACTTCCATTATGAAACTTATTGTTTCTTTTGTTACAATGGAGGCAATCGAACCCTTGATCTAGACTAATCCATTATGAAACTTATTTTACTGCTGAAATTTGGTTGCAACTTTCAAAGGCTATTTTTGGTGCTTCAATTTCTTCTTATCTCAATGCAGCTCAAAATTCGAAATGACTTTGATCCCGTGCTTTCCCCCGAGAGTTCATTGTTTGTATTGAAGAGTAACAAGCAAGTAAGGGTATCATCTTGCCTGTGTCTTGAACTCATAAAATATGATTTTCACCTTACATGCTTACACTATTTCCATTTGGTCATAGGTGGCTTATCAAGATATTTTGAAAATACTGGATCCTGCAAAGTTCTGCAGCTCTGTCCAGAATTTCATTGATATATACTTGAAGCTTCCTGGACTTCCTACTAATGGGCAGTTAACAGAGGGTGACTGCATTCGGGTCAGAATATGTGAGGGCAGATTTGCGTTGCTGATACGGGAGGTTGGTAACGTGACCTGGTTATAATTTGCTTTTTATTATTAATAAATACAGTGCTCGTTCTCTCTAACCACAGTGTACATTCCATTCTTTGTTTATGTTTCCTGAATTTGTTTGCTTAGCCTATAAGAGAAGGAAACTTCATCATTCAACCTAAAGTGGATTTTGATATTAGCATTAGTACAGTTGCTGGGCTTCTTAACCTTGGGTAAGCAGTAAACTACATATTTGAATTATAAAATTCATGGGTGGACACATTTTCTTCATGTTGGATGAAGAATTATGTTGTATTGTTGTTGTTCTTATTATTATTAGAATTTTTTTTATCATTACTTTTGTATCTTTTGGTGATGTCAGGTATCAAGCCGTAGCTTATATTGAAGCGTCTGCTTTCATCTATCAAGATGGAAAGGTCAGATCAAATTCTATGAGATTTATTTATTTCTCGAACATGTATTCTATTTGGAAAGTACTTCAATTGTGGTAGCAATATTAGCTTAAGTTTTCATGCCTCTTTAGATTTTGATTGAGGTTGATCATCTACAAGATGCCCCGAACCCTTACCTGCAAATCAAGGGGGTTGATAAAGATGCTGTAGCAGCTGCAGGATCAATGCTTAAATTGGATGGTTCATATACTACAAAGGTTTTTCCTTTAATTATTCTATGCTGTTTCCCATTCTTAATCCCAAGCCAAAATCACTTTCTTCTTTCTGGTTTGTTTGTTTGTTTCTTTTGATTCATTTTCATCTGAGTTGGTAGTTGATTTGTTTATTTGTTGTAGAGCTATCTTCAAATAGTGCTGGAAAGATTGCCAGCATCGGGAAGAGGCTCAGGTGGAATTCACACTCAGCAAGCTGCAAGGTTGCAGGAACTTGTAGAATTTATTCAATCTCAGGTATTTTTCTATCAAGTTAATGGATATGACATATCACATATGTTTGCAGGTCTCGAAGTCTTGCAATTTTTGCATCTAAAACTAAAGAATTTTTTCAGTGCATGCTGCATTTCTAACATTGATTGAAAATATATTGGTGTAATAAACAGGGCAGCAGTTCAGCTTCTGAATCATCACCAATTAGAGAAGTTTCTCCGGTTGAAGGGGTTATCGAAGACATGCAGTCAAGGATTAGAAGACTTGAGCGGTGGCATACAATCAATACGGTGCTTACGATACCTTTCCCCCCAAAGAGTTGTACTGGACTGGAGCTGTATAGAATAGTTGTGCTCATCCATTGGTGTTTGTGTGTTTTGTGTGGGCAGGTACTATGGACATTTTTGATGTCCGCACTTGTTGGTTATTCGCTCTACCAAAGGAAGCGTCAGTGATGCCGTCCCAGTTGTTTTCTGTTTACCATTGCAAGAAAGAGACTTTCTTGTTGCATTGATCATATCATCATTTTTACTGCGGCTGTCTCATCTCCTTCCGCAGGGTCAAGTCAATTGCTGAATATACAGAGTCAAAACAGTAACTTCCTAACTACAGTCACAGTTGCGTTTTATGTGACTCACAACAATGATACGCACAACTTGAGAGCCATTTATTGTATCAAAGTGATCCTTCTCTTACACTATGGTGAGAAGAAAGAAAATGAAAAGTACATACAGGCTGAGACTCAGAGAAGAATACACTCACTCCTCCTCCATGTATTTTTTTCTTTTTTTGTTAGAAGTTATAATTTACTCAATGAAAGATTATTGATGAGTTGTTTGCTGCTCTTTCTCTGCCCCCCATTCCATTAAAATATCAGAATATACGTTTTGCTTTGAACCCCCGCAGCCTCATCTGATGCGACTCGTTCTCAGTAGCCCCAGTTAAAATTAGAGTAATCGACAAATTATGGTTAATTTCCCCGTTAAAAAAAGAAACATATATACTACAAATAGAAACATAGAAAATTTCCCATATGATCTAATAACATGAAGAAAAAAAACAGCTTGTGAAAACAACAAAATCTCATGTATACTACAAATATTGTTTAATGATTTAAGTATTGGTGTAAACAAAGAAATTGTGTTGTTTAAATAGAAAATCTCTTTTATTTCTTATTTTTTCAACTTGGGTGTATTTAAGGGTAGTTTGGGAAGATAGTGGGGTTTTCTTAGAAATTGTGAAAATTTAAATTAAAAGTTGGGGTGAACTTAGAACATGAGATGAACTAAGAGAAGTGTGGGTTTAAATAGAAAATCTCTTAAAATAAGGGGATGTATTCAATTTAGATTTTAAATGATTTTAAAAGAGTTATAAAGTTGATAAAGTTTAATTGAATTTAATTGAGTTTTACTGAATTCTACAAACTCCATTTTGATTGAATTCATGTATAGATTTTAATTAAGTTTGTTAGAGTTGTATTATTGATTTTAATGGAGTTTATAGCACTCAAAAAACAAAGAGTTTAGGGGTGATGATAGTGGTGGTGGTGGCGACGGTTGTTTGTGAGTGATGGTGGGGGAGGTAGTGGCGGAGGCGGTGGGAGTGAGGTGGCGGAGGTAATGGCGATGATGTTGGCAATGGCTATAATGATGGTGATGATGGTGGGGCTGATAGTTGGGTGGTAGTGGTGGTGGTGGTAGTGCAGGCGATGGCGGTGATAGTGTTGACGGTGACGGTGATGGTGGTGGTGCTGGGGGTGGCAACGATGGCGGTGACTATGGTGGTGGCGGGTGACGACGACTACGATGACTATTGTGGTGGTGGTGGCGGCAATAGCGACATTGTTGATAGCCATGATAAGATGGTGGTAGTAGAAGTGATTAAATCATATCTTGAGAATAGAAATAATATCTATCAAAATGGGGAAGCAAAGGTTTTTCATGACCTAAAATTAGTCTATAATCAAACTAAATTCACCACCTTTTGTATTTCCTTTAAAAAAACAATGAGATTTTTAATACACCCAAACTTTTATGAAGTCTTTTAAAGTCGTGATTGAATACAACCACCACTAAACCCCTCAGCCCATCTCATCTTCCCTCCATATGATTTGGCTACCCCTAAACCCAAAACTAAAATCTTCCAAATCCAATAAACCGCAAAATTATGAATCAATCAAAATATGACAAAAGAAAATAAAAAATTGCTTGCTCTTAGTCTTACTCCCAATTTCAAAACTCAAAGCTTGCCTCTTTGATTTTTGATTGGTGTGGTTGGTTTGTTACTAGTACTAATGTGCTGCAGAAGAAGAGATTCTGAGAAGGATGAGGCAGTAACCTGTGAGCATACACATTTGGTTAATGTAGTAAGCAAAAATGCTCTCATCTCATAGAAATATAAAGTAAAATTCTGTAATTGTAATATATTAAAATCATAAGTAAAATTCTAAGTGAATAAAATCATAAGTAAAATCATATAATTATAAATCCGGTTGAAATATATTATATTAAAATTATGTAATTAAAATATGTTAAATTTCAATTGAATACACCTCCCTAAATTTGAACAACTTTTACAAAATCGTGATTGAATACACTTACTTTTAAACTTCTTTGAGAATGAAAGTCATAGACAAATTCCTTGGACGAGGTTAATAAAGATGATTCACTTTCTATTTTTTGGTTAACTTAAAAATGATTTACCTATTTTGATTTTCTGCGTTTGAAATTAAACGGACTGAAAACAATGAAAAAGTATACGGCTTGTTGTAAATTGTAATAAACTAGGATCGATCTATTTCGACTGTCTCTACACCCGCCATCACTCGACGCTCGCACAGTCAGAAGAGAGATCTGAAATCCCGAATGACAATGGAGCCTCCCAGCAACTACCAGAAGTATGGCGTCCCTTTCTACGTCGCCGCTTGGGCTCCCGACGTCCGTAAATCCCAACCACGCGACCAAGACGATGACGACGACGATCAAAGCAAAGCTCAGACTGAGACTGAATCAGCCCAATCCCATCCCAACCAAAACCACGTCGTTTTGGCCGGCGGTGGTGGCGAGGGTCGCAGCGGCGTCCCAAACGCCATCCTTGTCGCCCAATTTGATCCCGCCTCCGTTTCTCTCTCTCATCAGCCCGTAATACTCCAACCCCGATCCCATCCTTCTTAATTTTTACAGATTATTACCTGATTTGCCTGCGTTGTAATTGTAATCGGTGTTATGTTTGGAATTTGGTGTTTGATTATCAGGTGGCTAAGCTGGACACTGGCTCGGATTTGCCTTATAGAATGGCGGTTCACCCCGGGGGCGACGGTCTCATTTGCTCTTTTCCTAATAGTTGCAGGTCTTTTTCATTCAAACTTTTCCATTTCTTTATCTTAGACAATACCTTTATCTATCAATTCCCTTGAATCTGAGAAAACTGAAACCCAACCAGAATTACATGAAAAAAATGAAAGGCTGCACATTTTGATTTTAGGTTCATGAGCAGTAGGATGCTCTTATATTATATTCACGTACATATGCATATATTAATTGTAGATTTTCTTGTGCAGATGGTTTGAATGGGACGAAGAAAGCGGTGAAGATACTAAACTGGGTTTGAAGCAGTCGGACAGAGTGCTCGACCAGTTGGTAGATGTTGGACAACAGTTGGCCTTGGCATTTAACAAAGAAGGTTCCGTTCTTGCTGCTGGAGGCGAGGTACAGACCGTCCCTTCACCTTTTCATTTTGGATTCAAATACATTTGTTATACATTACGTATCACTATGTGTTACAGTTTTATATTATAGATTGTTTTTAGACATGACATCAATGTCGGATGCAAAATTTTCTTTTCTCCAGAAGTAGTAGCACACTGTATAATAATGCTCTCATTTGGTGCAGTACAGGATGGCAAATTAAGGGTTTTCAAGTGGCCTAGCATGGAAATTATTCTCAATGAAGCTCAAGCTCATACTACAGTGAAGCAATTAGATTTCAGGTTTGCAAGAGTCACAGCATTTAAAAAAAAATCTGTCGACCTCTTCTATTTGTAATGTTGTTGCTGATGGTCTGGGCCGGTTGTCTTGCAGTCCTGATGGGAAATTTCTTGTCTCCTTGGGAAGTAGTGGCCCTGGCAGGGTGTGGGACATAACTTCGTCTACTGTTGCAGCTTCTCTACCACCAGAAAAGGTGAGTAACTGCTGAAAATTCTTCTATAAATAAAATTATTATGAGTTTCAAATTTATGCGGATTCAAATGATCCTTGACTTTGTCGATTGACATACCCCTTTCAAGGAGATTTTGTTGATTTTTACTGGTACATACATACAATGGTTTGTGTACTTAATTGTATGCTTATTGAACACGTTAACCAAAAAAAAAAGTAGAACAAACTATTGACACCGATATCCCTGTACTTTTGTGAATCATTTAACCTACTTTTCTGGTTTTACCGCCTGGTCACGTGGGTTTCTAATTAATGAGAATAATTATAAATTATAATACATGCAGGACGAGGTTTTTTGTGCTTGCAGATTTTCTTTGATTAGTGATGGGAATTACATTCTATATATTGCAGGTAAATATTCCGTGTGGAAAAAGAAATTCATCTGTTTCTTAGAGAACTGCTCTCTTTCTACTTACTTTTTCCATGAGTTAACCGTTTCAACCTCTGTATTACATAATACAGATAAATCTGGAAGCATTGTGACATGGAACACAACCACTTGGAAGAGGATTGGATCAAAGACTATTGCACGTGACATTATTTGTGCCTTTGATGTTTCAGCTGATGGAAAGCTCCTTGCTTGGTAATATTATCTTGGATCTGTACTATTAACAATTTTTTAGATGCTTTTCACACTACACAATGTGTCAAATGACTGCATATGGTGTCGTATTGTTTTTGGGTAACAACATATGGTGTCATTTGAAATCACCATTTTTAACACTATTTACATCGAATTGCAATCTAGCATGAAGCAATTGCTTTCACAGCTTTCCATCCTTTGGTAAAAATATCTCCTGTGTGTCTTGAAAAGGAAAAAATTAAACTAACACGTCTTATCATGAAAACAAAGTGGGACTACTCAAGGAGATCTTGTGATAGTAAATTCAACCAGAATGCGGATTCAAAAAGTGGTTAAGAAAGCACACCTTGGCTTTGTAACTGCATTGAGTTTCTCTCGTGATTCAAGGTAAACCAACATATCAACATTATGTTTCTTCTATGGTTATGATTATGCAGCAATCCATTTTCCTCTTCTATGAACTGTTTGTGAAGCATGTGATTTTAAAATGCAGAGCTTTGGCTTCTGCATCCCTGGACTCAAGTGCTAGGGTGTCCACACTTGAGGATGAGAAGAAAACTGGTAAGTTCTTGACATAATTTTTGGTTGGATAATTCAGTCGTATCCCTCCGAACTTTTCATGGTAATTGTTGGACTTCCCTTGACAGCCTAGTTAAACCATCATGCTAGAAAACCTTGCCCATGATTGGAGGCCTTTTTGATTGTCCAGGTCTCAAGAAATATAAGCAGCCAAATTCCAATTCAGTTTTTACTATCACTGAACGTAGCAAGTAGAACACCATCACTGTTTGGGGGACCTCCTTGAGCTCTATTTGATCGTTTCCTCTAGTGTTTTGTTTGTATTTTTAATGATTGGGTTTTACTGTTGGAGCGTCACAGGCTTTCCTGAAAAAATGCCAAGTTCAAACAACAATCAATTCGGATTTCAACCATATGACATTAGGATGATTAGGATGAATGTCGAACTTTCTATTAATCTATTTTGTCTACTAGAAAACACCTAATTGCTCTAATTGGTAATATGTTACCTCACACGGTTGCAACTTTAGTTCATTTAGAAATGAGACATGCTCTTGGTTTGGTTGCAGGAGGATTGAACATATGGATCGTTATATTCATCATTCTAGTCGCCATTGCTGCATATTTCTGGAACGATCCTGAGAATTTGCCGTCGTTTAATTCTTAAATGTAAAAATTTGACCGCTCCTGGCTTTGAAAGGATTTTAAATTCGCAGAGATCAGCTTGGTGCTTGTGATAGTAATATGATAGGATCGTGGCTTTGACGGCCTGTCATAGGAAAAGAGGACACTGGCCAGTTGGGCTTGAAAGCCAACTCATGTGTAAGCCTATTAGCGTGAGATTGCCTTTTTCGGCGTTGTCTTTATAATATGTAGTTCACTTTTGGAGGTGTATATCAATTTTCTGAAATAATTTTCATATATATATTTTTGTTGTCTTTCTATTTCCTTTATAACTTACTTTTCTTTTCTAAAACGTTTAATAAATTAAATCTTTATTTTAGACCTGGTTTCTTCGTTTGGTCGAGCCAGTTTCTTGTTGGTTTCCTAGATGCGTACTGGTTTATTTGAGCTTCCATACTATATTCTCCAAACAAAATTTGTTAATTACAGAAAGGGAATGAATGACCAACCTACTAGTACTAGATGCGAGTAAAATTACAAGGCAACTTCTAATATTATATCCCTTAGGATTTTAGGAACATGTTGCCAAAGACACAGAAGAAAAGCATGTGACAATCAGTAGGAGTAGGACCCCGAATTACCATAATTGTATATCTGCAACTTTTTGTTTATTTTGGGTTGTTGTCCTGGCGTGTCCTGTCTTTTTAAGTTGTGGTTAGCTTTTGGGGGGGCGCATTCGTCTGCATCTCCTCATCGTACATGTTTGATGCTTGATTCTTCATTGCCATTGACAGTGAAGCTATAGCCTCTCCCACTGACAGGTAAAGATGATCTGGTCTCATCAGCTCATTGTCTTTATCCACCTTCTGCAATTTCTCCACAACCTCAGCCAACGGGTTCACCAACACCAGCTGTAATTAATTTCAATCAGCAACTCAATAATTAAAACTAATCTGCTAAACTTGATATTAAACAAATGTACACATATTTCTTTCAACTTGCCTCAACCCCCTTTTTTCGAATTGCTTTCCTTAAATCTCCAAAGAGTGTGATCCCAGTTGTGTCTATGCTGCTCACAGCTTAAAACATAACACAAGTTGTCAGCCTAAAAAAAAAATGAGATACCCAATAAAATAAACAGTTGATGCTCAAGATAATTAAACTCACCTGACATATCTATAATGACAAATCGAATGTTTGGATGTTTGTTTCCATCATCTTCTTCTTCTTCTATCCATCTCAAAATCCTTCATATACATTTACATATAACAATGACAATTGTTCAAATAAACTGAAAAAGTACAACAACAAAAGGGCTCAAAATGCTGGCAAAGAAACAATCCACAACCAACCTTTCATTCAGATAGGTGGTGTTGGCAAAGTTGATCGCAGCTTCTATGCTGATAATGAGGAAACCAGGGACACTCACTGCTGATTCATTGTAATGGTGTAGGTCTCTAAACACATCTGTCCCAGGTATATTTCCCAACACCACTGTCCTCGGCCTTGTCACTTGCAGCAGAATCTTGAAAACCGATATTCCAACCTATTTATTTTATATCATCAAATTCCCATGTCATGCATACAAATTTTAAAATAAAATAAAAAAGTTGAGGTTGAGGTTGAGTTGTGGATGATGAATTATTTCTTACCGCAATGGCCAGGCCCTGTTGAACAGAGATAAAAATGACACCCAGAAAAGCACACACCAAGACAATGAAGTCATATTTGTCAATCTTCCAAATGTGATAAGCAGCTGGAACATCAATGAGGCCAATCACTGCAGTCACTATAATGGCACCCAATATAACATTGGGTGTGTAGTGAAACAGTGGCATCAGAAACAGGAGGGTCACCATAACTGTCACCGACATTACTATGTTGGACAAGGCGGTTTTTGCTCCGGCATTGTGGTTCACAGCTGACCGTGAGAAAGAACCTGATCCATCATCAAGATCAAAAATTTTATATCAAATTCTCATCCTTGCTAATAATTGATTTTTGGGTCACCAATATTATTATTTTTTAATTAAGTTGATAATGAAATGCGAACCTGTTGTGATATAACAGGAAGTGATGGAGCCAATAATGTTCATGAGCCCAATTGCTATCATCTCCTTGTTTCCATCCACCCTGTATTCTCTCAGACTAGCAAAAGTCCTTCCTACTGCAATGCCTTCCTGTTAATTTGATGCAAAACTAATCAGCCAAACCAATCGCTTAATCAAAATGGCTAATTTTTTTTTTTAAACCCCTGCTTTAAGAATCAACTTACTGTGAGAGCAATGATGCCAGTGATAATCCCAGTCTTAATTACAAGTCCTATGTGGGTCCCACTGAAAATCAACATGTTCCATGAAGGTGGGTTCAATCCTTTCTGTAGATCTCCAATCTGCCATATAAAATATAAAAGTAGACCAAAAATCAACGTCTCTAGACATGATGCATAGTGGATGGACATGGAGGAGAGAGTTTGAGGGGAAGCAAACTAAAAACTGAGCATGGTGTGGGGCACAAGAACTTACCACACTGATGCCATGGCGATTGGCTTTGAATGCGAAAACAATTACGGTGGAGAGGATGACAGACGCAAGTGGGGCTCCAGCTGAGACCCAAAACAGCTTTGGCTTTCTCATGCTCTGCATATATGTATATGGCACGCAGCCCAACATGGATTAGTCAAATTGCATCATTGACTTTGAACTGAGTTCTTAGGGCATCTCCAGCCATGAGTCACAGGTAAAATATAATCCTAAAATAATGTAAAACTCATCTTTAACCATGAACTAAAAAAAATTGGCCAAATTTGGAAAGCAACATTTGGCCTTCAGTTGGGGCGAATATGTCTGTGTTTGTAATTAGTAGATAAAGACAACATATTTATAACCATCAGTCAGAGATTGATGTGAGTGAGTTCATTAATGAAAAAAGTTATCCATCAGAAAGTGAAGGCAGGGACAAGATAACATACGACGTGTCTTGCGATTAGGAGCAACAGAAGGAAGCAAACTCCCATTAATATGGTCTGCCATGACCACTGCAGAAAATAAAGAAAAACACTCAAATTATTACTTGAACAAGAGGGGAAAATGAAAAGGAACTAATATTAAAATACAATATCTGAGATTCCTAATCATATCTAGTTGATAGTTATCTCTAGTACTATGTCTGTAGCTTAGTTTATGATTGCTAAGAAAAGCAAAAAGCTTTATCAGCAGTCTAATATATCACTGTTTGAATATTTTAATGGGCTTCTCTCTGTTTCATTACCTCCTTTCGTTCCTCAAAAACAGAGCTCAAAACAGGGACTATAGCCATTTTTTTGGTGAAATTTTGTATTCCAAGGAGGCTTTTAAGCTGTTGCAGAGAAACTATCACAGCAGCTCCAGCCATGAAACCAATAAGAGTGGCCTTTGAAAGGAAATCAATGATAAATCCAAGCCTGCACCCACCAATACCAAAACATTGATCAATTTTGTTTCTTATGATATTGTCTTTTGTCCTCTCAAGTTTTAGATAAGAAGGCGGCAAAACTACAGCAAATTAAGCTGGGAAGTGAAGGTGGGGGCCACTTACCTCAATAATCCTAGAGAAGCTTGGATTATACCACTAAAGAAGGTTGAAGTAAAGGCAAGTTGAAGAAACAAGTTTGGATCTTTTGTGGGAGAAACTTCTTGCATAAGCATTGATCCCATTATAAGAGAAGCAATGGACACAGGTCCTACTGCAAGGTCTTTTGAGCTTCCAAGAACAGCATACACTAAAGGAGGAACAAAGCTGGAATCTACAGGTCCAAAAAAGATCAATTAACAAATGCAACACATTCAAATTGTAAACGAGTAACAGAAACAAATTACTTACAGAGACCCACAATTGCAGGTAGATTAGCAAGCTTAGCATAACTGATTCCCTGAAGAAGAAGAAGAAGAAGAAGAAGAAGAGAAGAACAGAGTTAAATTAAGAACAGGGTATATGTTGTTTTCAAATTTCAATCATGAAATTGAGAAATCAAAGTTGAAGATCAAGCTTTGTACCTGAGGGATGGCTAAACTAGCAATGGTGATACCAGAAATAATGTCAGACTTGAGGAGCTTGAAGCTGTAAGTAGGACCCCATTCAAGGATAGGGAAGACATACTGAGCTCCGAGAATCCATTGCTTCTTTGGTGGCTGTCCTTTGAACTGGTGCAAAGGGTCATCTGGGAAAAAGGTTTCTTTGAGCCTGACCATGAGCTTCTGCAAGGTGCTTCTACGGGGTGGAGGAACAACCTTGTGAACCTCCAATCCCCCCATTGGTATGTTCATGCAGTGGTGCATGTTGTTGTTGTTGTTACTTGGTGTGTTTATGGTCGGATGCTGGTTATTTAACTTTGAGGGTGAGGAGCCCTCTATTTTATCATGTGAGGCTTCTCCCATCAATCAACTTCTCCAGGGGACCGCTAAAAACAAATTTGTAGTACTACTACAAGTCTTGCTAGCTACTATACTATTACTAATTGACTAGGGGTGGCTGAGCCCGCAACTTTTGTTAATTCATGAAAAGACACAAAGTGAATTGGTTTATCTCTAGCTCTCTATTTGTATATGTACAATTAGCTAAGCTAGTTAGGCTAAAAGGGGTGCTCAAAGAATAAAATGAAAAGTTCAAAGGGGGGAATCTGTAAAATATTAAAGTTGGAGGGAGATGATAAAAGGAAAGCTTACAAGTAAAAAATTTTGTTGAAAGGTACCAGTCCTGTAAAAGATGGTTGAAAAAAACATTGAAGAAGGTACATAAACTAGTGTGCCATGCAAATGGGTTGCGTTTGTAATTGGCTGAAGATGATCACCGCGGCAGGTAATATTCTGAGGGATATTCTCTGTGTTCATCTACGCTGTAAATAAATGGTCTAAACTCTGTAGGAATTTTATGTGGACAGTTGCTAGACATGTTAAATACAGCAACACAATTGTTTCAAGTTTACAACCGATCAGAGTAGAAGAAGAAGAAAGATAGTCGATCGGTGGTGTATTCGGTTTGGGTCGGTACCTTTGTTGTGATGAGGATGAGGAGGTGAGCTATAAGCTATAAGAAGCTAGCAGCCTAGCAAGCACCATATTGTTGAATTGTTTGTCATGCATTAAGCAAAATGACAGGAAGCCAGTGTGAGCACATATGTCCTGTCCAGGTGACGTGCCACAAAATCCATATTCATTCGCATCTTCCTTCTGCAATCAAAAATTAGCTATACTTTTGTTAGATTTGTTGTACCCAGAAACCAAAACGTTAAAAAACATCAATCACCTTTAATTTTGGTTTCTACTTTAGGACAAACATAGTTTATTTACAACTTTGGCATGTACAATATTTTAATGAACAGTTAACTCTAGCTACGAGGAGGGAGGAGGTGCTGCTGCGCCAACTTGGTGCCCCTTAAAAGACCAAATGAAACATAACCATATGCTATTGTATTTTTTTTTCCAATGTCTAAGGTAGAGAAATGTGCGCATATATACGTAAAGTTACTACTTTTTATATACCTCTTTCTTGCCAACCATATAATATATATATGGTGTTGTTATGTGTATAAATACTGTACATATCAGACTACTTTATACGTCGTTTCATAAAATGTGCATGGAACCGAATATGAGCCATGCTTGCTAATATTATGTCTGAATCTACTTCACAATAGGGTTTGGTCTTGGTTATCTGCATATCTTTTAGAAAGAAAAAAAATTGTTCCTAATACCAAGTGGTATGTCGAGATAGTGTTACGAGTTCATTCAAATTATAACAAGTATTAAGCATAATATTGATGGATCTCCACCACCAAATTTATCTTAAGTAATTAACAACACACGGAAGAAGAAGAACAAAAGATGAACTTATACAATATCACATCCATAAAAGAGATTAAGATTTCCAGGAACCATAAACAAATAAAAGAGAACACTTTCTTTCATTCTCAAAAGACTATCTTAACAACAATCTTAAATCTAGAATAAAAGCAATGAATTAAATATGGGAAAAATTATTTATTTTTAATTTAAAAAAAAGGAAAAGAAAAGAGGTAGGATTCTAGAAAAACATACCAAAGTTGATCATCCATAATTAGGTTGGATGTAGTTCGCCTTCCAATTCAAATAATCTACAACCTAGTTTAGAAGTTGTCGAGTTTTCCATGAACATACGAGGAACCGATTCCAATCCAAGAATCATCCCCTATATCTTGTTGATATAGAGGCAAATTACTCAATCTGTATATATATATAATCGAAGCAAAAAATTTCCAGAGGAGCAAAGTTTTTCTAAGGGATTCGTTGATTGTTCAACGAGAATAATGAATTTATATGATCAAAGTAGAACAAAACTAAAAAAACTCAGAAGACTCTTCTTAATTAATTTCAAAAGATTAAACAACGAGTAAGGGATAAACCACAACAATACCCATAAATCCAAAAAATATTATTCTTTTTATAAGGAAAAATATGAAAAAGGGAAAGACTTTAGAAATATCCAAAACTCAGACGAATAAATTTGAGAAGCAAAAATAGTAAACTTGAAAATTCATCCCCCACGATAATATTGGTGCATCACATAGTAAATATCAGGCCTGAACCCCTAGTTCTTTAGTTAATGATACGTATGTGTGTGGCTTGGAAAGTTAGCTTAACCATTACCGCATAATTTGTAAGTAAGTTGGAGAGCTTATTAGCTTAACAATCAAGAATGGCCGCCCAGGCAGCGACTGAAGCTCACCCTCCACCACCACCATTAACAGTGATGATGGTGGAAAGAGATAAGTGGGCCCTTTCGAATATATATTGGAGATTCAAGTGGCACCAACTTGGAGAAGAATGTTGGAGTTTTCCTCAGACACTGAACCCTACTACTTTTTCTTCCTACCCAACATTTTTGAATGATGAGATGAAAAAGAAGAAGTCATTTCATTTGCTTCAATGTTGAGGTGCAAAATGTCACCTTTGATTAGATAATTGGAGGGTCACGTACTTTGTTTCACGGGCCTCCACCCTCCATTGTGCTTGCTGCTGTCCATAAAATTATTAAATAAATAAGTTAATGTGTAAGATTACAGTATCAAAACGTGGGCGGCAGGATTCGAACCTGCGCGGGCAAAGCCCACATGATTTCTAGTCATGCCCGATAACCACTCCGGCACGCCCACTAGACGATGTTCAGATCCTTTGATCATTCTTATTTAACAGAAGAGTTTACTTGTAGCTGGCTGCACCACATCTTTGGACTTGTAAAGGAGATTCCGGTATATGAGAGAGAGGACCCCGCTGATATCCCAAAAGAATGTGCAGGATCTAAAAGGAGGCCTGCACAATGGTGACATCCCATTGGGCATATTGGGAAATTCTAGCCTTTCCAAAAGAAAGGAAATTGCAACAACATTCATGGATCACTGAAATTTTGTTTTAATGAAGGAACAAAATTCCAAGGAAGGTGGGATTTCAATATTCCAAACATCAAAACAAATCTTAATAGTCATATTACAAAAGTTAAGTGTAGTTTATTTTTAAATTAAGTAACAAATCCCCGATTATATTTGCTTCTCGATACACATGTACTCAAAATGAAACTGCTCCATTTGAAAATGGATTACAAAACTCATGAAGAGAAGGCCAGTGAATAAGCTCCAGGTATCAAGTGAGTCCCTATCCTCCAGTTTTGTTTTCAGTCGTGGAACTCATTATTATAAATATACTTCAATTCATCAAACACGCCATATGGTTCTACCACAACCCCACTAATGCCTTTCGGTTCTACTACCTTTCGTTGATTCTCAGCCAACCCTTGCAATTTGCAAATAAAAGATTAGCCATAACAAGGAGCATCAGTTGAGCGAGACAGCCAGAATTACAGATTTGATATATACATACATAATTATTAGTTGGATCATCCTCAACACCAAAGTCAAACGCAGAAATTATGAAGAGTCACCAAAGTTTGGAACACACAGTTCACAGTTGATAATTACACAACAAATGCTCCAATTTTATATCATATTTGATTACGTATTCGTCATACATACACGGCTAATTCACAGCCGTATGTGTTACTTCGGTCCCACGGTTCAATGTTATATGGAAATTGTCCTAAGTTCACAAATAAGGAAAAAGAGGGAAGCCCGGGAATGATTAAATCTCTGACTATGAGCAAATGTGTGTTTTGTGTTTATAATGAACGGTCCCGAGTTCTGTTTATGTATGGTTCTCGTTAGGTGAAAAAATTACATGTGACGGAGTGATATGACAAGAATTATATATGTATCGCTCATTGTGACGCAACTTAAGTATACACGTAAGTTTTTCTCCCTAGGTATATTTCATATGTGAAATGTCCAGCTAGCTATATATGTGGCAAGCAATGATGGGTTTGGCTTTCTATATTCTCAAAGCAAATATTGACTGGTTTTCATCCATATATATATATATGTGTATGAAAAAGTAAAAAACTATACACGCAACTTATCATCGCAAAGGTTCTTGAGATAATTTTTTTAAAGCTAGATTCTGCATGAAATTGTAAGCAAAGGTATTGTAATTTGGACATGTCTTTGAAAGATAACGAGAATCCGATTTTCTTGAAAAAATGTGATGGTCCTTAAAGGCTATAAAGCTATAAAGGTAGGAAACGATATGTGATTTTAGTGGGAACCTTCTGAACCGCAAAAACCCATCACATGCTATTGGAAGGGATAACGAAGTTGTGGCCAATCCCCAATTGGGTTGCAAAAAGACTTTGGTCCTAAGTATGTCAACCATATATATAGATTTCAAAAAGTTTATGGTCCTTTTTATTTTCTTTTTTGCACAAAATAGGCAGGAATATGCATGACTTTTATCATGATTAACCTAGCACGAGGAGTGGCCCGGAATTCTTGTATCGTACGAGTCAGGAGTTTTGTCATGACTTGATCCAGTTAGGGCTTAACTTTAGCTGCTTGTCGAGCCTAAAAAAAGTTTACTTTTTGCAGGGACGGACTTGAAGGTTCCCTGCGTATTGTTTTTCAATAAAAGACACACTGATCGCCACTTGCACTTACTTGTAGTTATCTGTAAATTTCTTTTTAGGGATGGGACTTGGTTAGATGAAGTAGACCTCAACTTGAATTTCGATACTTGAAAATCAGAACAAAAAGGTCTTCAACTAAAGTACCAGATAAACTATGACATATTTTATGTTTAATTTCTATCGTTTATTAACTTAATTATGCGATAGTAAAAATTCATATACCCATCCTATACCCCACCTGTAATGTTGACTTGACTAAAACTCACGGAAAATGTAACTGTAGGACCAATGCGTAGAATAATAAAGAGTTGATAGATCATTTGGAAAAATAAATTAGTTGAGGGATCAAAACACAACTCGGGTATAAATTTGAGGATCATTTGAGTTAAAGACCTTTAAGAGAGATTACAAGAGCCTCAACTAAACCAACATCTTCCATTGCAAACTAAGTAGTGCAACCATAAGAAATGAAAAACAAAGCGAAAGAAAGATAACATAGAAAAAGAGCCACAAATAAAAGGATTGTGACAAGAATTCAAGTAATTTCCTCGGTGTTTTTATTGTCGATATACAAAGAGTTCCATTCTTAAGAAGCACAGCAGGTCACACTTAGCATAACTTGTTCATTTCAGCCTTTGAACTGCTAGCATGGCTTGAGTATCCTCATTCCACATGTGAAAGACATCCCCACCCCCCCCCAACCCCCCCCCCCTCCCCCCTCTCTCTCCAAACAAACCTTCAGCCTTTGTCCTGCAAACAGCATAACATCATTTCTTTTCTCCACTGGCAAATAGCCTCGAATTCATTCGACAAGACATGAAATTCTAAAGAGTTTTACTGATAAACCCACAAGGAGTAACCCAACCCACATTTCTTTGAAAAAGACCAATTTTTCCATTCCACAAGGATAATGAAAGCTTACTTGTGATCAGAAGGATTTGGCCTGAGTTCATAAACAATTGTTGCCACAACATCCCTCTTCAACGAATGCACTCTAAGTCACAGCAAAGAATGCACAGATAAAACGAGTGAATTGTTGGGAAGAGCTAACCTTTACGTTGTTGATAAACGGTGAGAGAGAGCGAGTCGCTCGCTTGATGTATTTGCAGAGATGCCAGACCCGTCTAGGAAAAAATAAAGACCCGACCCGGCCAGACCCGCCTGGGCCCATTTTCGAACTTTGATTGTTAGTCCTTAAGAGCATTTCCATCAGTTAGTCCCTTGCCATGGCAAGGGGAGCCCTAGGGCAGCTACTATTCACTTGAATAGTGGCAACCCTAGCCCCCCCTCCCCCAATAAAGTGTGTTTCCAGCAGTTTAGGTTTGCCATGGCAAATACTATTCATGTTTTTGTTTTTTTTCACAACTTTGTTTACTTAAACAATTAATTTAGATAAGATTTTTCGGTTCATACGTGTCAATACTATTCATATCGGATAAGATTTTCGGTTTCAAATTTCAGATACATTTCAAAATTCAAATTTCAGATAAATTCAAAATTTGAATTTCAGATACATTTCGAAATTCAAATTCCAGATAAATTTCCAATTCCAAATTTCATTTGAATTTCAAATTTCAGATAAGATTTTCATCCTCTAAAATTGTGCCACGTGTCACCTCTATCTGTCTAAATTTTTCTATAAAACCAGAGGCTCAGCTCATACCTCCCACACCATATCTGATGTAGAACAAATGGCAGATTTTATCGCGGTTGAGCTAGAAAAATGACGTAGCGGGAATTTGCAGATTTGTCGTCCGAGCTCCGATTAGGACGCAAAATACCATTTCGGAAAGGGAACGACGTCACGAGTCAAACTCATTGCTTTTCTGTGATGTATGATGGATTTTGGCATCCTGAGGTCGTTTGGCCTTCCAAAACGGCATTCAAAGTTTCGTAGTTAATTTTCGGAATAAATTCTGTTTTTCAGTTTTAATGTAATAACTCACCTAGCAGCTCAAGGGTTGAGAGATGTGTATTTAGTCAGAGTTGGTGAACGTTTTCAGTATCTCAGATTTTAATAAAATTATTCCAAGAGAATTCCTCTTAATTACTGGTGGAATCAAGATTTCTTGTCACTCAAGGTTTTCGTTTGAAACTTTTGTTGCTTGTGCTGCGTCAAGTGGTATCAGAGCGGGTCTCTCCCGTCTCGGTATTCTTGTCTTATCATGGGTGATCGAGAAGCTGATGTCCCAGCCCCAATTACTCGAGCGGATTTGGACGCTCAAAACCAACGGATCGACAACCTAACCACACAATTTGGGGAGATGCGAGAATTGTTGTTGCGAGCTATTGGTGGCAACAATGGAAGGGGTGGCAGAGATGATAATCGAAGAGAAGGTAGAGATGGTGAGAGAAGAGATAATAGGAGGCAACTTATTCCGGATAGTGAGTCAGAGTTAGAAGAAGAACTTGAGGAACCACCACCACCACCACCGGCTAATAATCATCGTAATCGTAATTACGAAAATTTTGGCGATTATCGGATTAAAGCCGAAATCCCTAACTTTTGGGGAAATCTGAAGATTGAAGACTTCTTGGATTGGCTTGTAGAAGTAGAGAGGTTTTTCGATATTATGGAGGTTCCTGAGCATAAAATGGTGAAGATGGTAGCTTTCCGTCTAAAAGCTACATCGGCTGTATGGTGGGATCAATTGCAAAATCTACGGCAGAGGCAAGGAAAGCAGCTGGTTCGTACATGGCGGAAGATGAAGCCGCTTATGATGGAACGATTCTTGCCCACGGATTATGAGCAGATTCTATATCGTATGTATCTGGGTTGTGCACAAGGCAATCGTTCGGTTTCTGAATATACCGACGAATTTATGCGTTTGGCAGAGCGAAACCATTTGACCGAGACTGACAATCAAAAGGTCGAGAGGTATAACAATGGGCTGAAGATTTCCATCCAAGAAAAAATTGGTATGCAGAATATATGGACTTTGCAGGAGGCGATTAACATGACGTTGAAAGCTGAACTGTTGGAGAAGGAGAAGCGCCAAACCAACTTCCGCAAGAACACGACAGAAGCCTCTGAATATGCTGCTGGTGCTTCTAGTGGCTCAGGAGATAAGGGAAAAGTGCAGCAGCAGAATCCTGGAGGATCGCCAAAACCAACAACAGTTGGCCAAAACAAAAACTTCAACGAAGGCAGCAGCCGAACTTTCAACAGAGGGCAGTCCCGACATCAGTCCCAGAATCCGTATGCTAAGCCTATGACGGACATATGTTACCGTTGCCAAAAACCAGGGCATCGTTCCAATGTTTGTCCAGAGCGGAAGCAGGCTAACGTTATCGAAGAAGTCGATGATGATGAGGAAAGAGATGTAGTCGGGGAAGATGATTATGCAGGGGCTGAATTTGCAATTGAGGAAGGAATGGAGAGGATTACCTTGGTTTTGCAGAGAGTTCTTTTGGCACCAAAGGAGGAAGGGCAGCGTCATAGTATTTTTCGTTCCCTCTGCTCAATCAAAAACAAGGTATGTGATGTGATCGTCGACAATGGAAGTTGCGAGAATTTAGTGTCAAAGAAATTGGTGGAGCATTTGCAGCTATCAACGGAGCCACATGTCAGCCCTTACTCACTAGGTTGGGTTACGAAAGGCCCTTCGGTTCGTGTTGCTGAGACTTGCCGTGTGCCGCTGTCAATTGGTAAGCATTACAGAGATGATGTATTTTGTGATGTTATTGACATGGATGCATGCCATATTTTATTAGGGTGACCTTGGCAATTTGATGTGGATGCGACTTTCAAGGGACGAGATAATGTAATTCTGTTTTCTTGGAACAACCGCAAAATTGCAATGGCAACTACAAAGCCCTCAAAACAATCTGTTGAGTCCAAGACGAGGAGTTCTAGTTTCTTAACCCTAATTAGCAGCGAGCAGGAGTTGAACGAGGCTGTCAAAGAAGCAGAGTATTTTTGTCCCTTGGTGTTGAAGGGGTTGTTGCAACTTGGCAGAGGAGGAGAAAGTGACATTCCACAAGATATGCAGCAGATTTTGTCACAATTTCAGGAACTACTTTCTGAAAAGCTGCCAAACGAGTTACCACCTATGCGGGACATACAACACCGAATTGACTTGGTGCCGGGAGCTAGCCTTCGGAATCTGCCCCATTATCGGATGAGCCCCAAGGAGAATGACATCCTGAGAGAGCAGATTGAAGAATTATTGCAGAAGGGATTTATCAGGGAGAGCTTGAGTCCCTGCGCAGTTCCAGTTTTGTTGGTTCCAAAGAAAGACAAAACTTGGCGAATGTGTGTTGATAGCCGAGCAATCAACAAGATAACAGTCAAGTACAGGTTTCCCATTCCACGGTTGGAGGATATGCTGGATGTTCTTGGCGGCTCAAGGGTGTTTTCCAAGATAGATTTGCGAAGCGGTTACCACCAGATTCGCATCAGACCTGGCGACGAATGGAAAACAGCGTTCAAGAGCAAGGACGAATTATTTGAATGGTTGGTGATGCCATTCGGATTGTCTAATGCGCCTAGCACTTTCATGAGACTCATGAATCAGGTTCTTCGACCATTTATTGGTTCTTTTGTCGTAGTTTATTTCGATGACATTTTAATTTACAGCACCACAAAAGAAGAACATCTTGTGCATTTGAGACAAGTCTTAGATGTTTTGAGAGAAAACAAGCTGTATGTGAACCTAAAAAAATGTACTTTCTGCACAAATAAGCTACTGTTCTTGGGTTTTGTTGTTGGTGAGAATGGTATCCAGGTAGATGACGAGAAGATCAAGGCAATCCTTGACTGGCCAGCTCCAAAGACAGTCTCTGAAGTTCGAAGTTTCCATGGTTTGGCCACCTTTTACAGAAGATTTGTGAGGAATTTCAGCTCCATTGTTGCACCTATCACAGAGTGTTTGAAGAAAGGCCGGTTCAGCTGGGGAGAGGAGCAAGAGAGAAGTTTTGCAGATATAAAAGAAAAGCTTTGCACCGCGCCGGTTCTAGTCTTCCAAACTTTGAGAAAGTATTCGAAGTTGAGTGTGATGCCAGCAGCGTGGGAGTCGGAGCTGTGCTTTCACAAGACAAGCGGCCAGTTGCATTCTTTTCTGAAAAGCTGAGTGATGCACGTCAAAAGTGGAGTACTTATGACTAAGAGTTCTATGCGGTGGTTCGAGCTTTGAAGCAATGGGAGCACTATCTTGTCCAGAAGGAATTTGTTTTGTTTACAGATCATCAAGCGTTGAAGTATATTAACAGCCAGAAAAATATTGATAAAATGCATGCTAGATGGGTGACTTTTTTGCAGAAATTCTCATTCGTTATCAAGCATACTTCCGGCAAGACAAATCGTGTGGCGGATGCGCTGAGTAGAAGAGCTTCATTGTTAATCACGTTGACTCAAGAAGTTGTGGGGTTTGAATGTCTGAAGGACTTATATGCGGGTGACGATGATTTCCAGGAAATTTGGACTAAGTGCATCAATCATGAGCCAATGGCAGAATACTTTCTTAATGAAGGTTACTTGTTCAAAGGCAACCAGTTGTGTATTCCAGTTTCCTCTTTAAGGGAGAAGCTTATTCGGGACTTGCATGGTGGAGGATTGAGTGGCCACCTAGGCCGTGATAAAACAATTACAGGGATGGATGAGAGATTTTACTGGCCACAGCTCAAGCGAGATGTTGGAACTATTGTGCGCAAATGCTACATTTGTCAGACTTCAAAGGGGCAGGTACAAAACACTGGATTATATATGCCATTACCAGTTCCTAACGATATTTGGCAGGATCTTGCTATGGATTTTGTCATCGGTTTGCCCCGAACACAAAGGGGAGTGGACTCTGTATTTGTGGTGGTTGATCGGTTCTCAAAAATGGCGCATTTCATAGCCTGCAAAAAGACTGCTGATGCATCAAATATAGCCAAACTGTTTTTCAGGGAGGTTGTTCGCTTGCATGGGGTTCCTACATCCATTACATCTGATCGTGACACCAAGTTCTTGAGCCATTTTTGGATCACCTTGTGGAGACTGTTTGGGACTACTTTGAATCGTAGCAGCACTGCCCATCCCCAGACTGATGGCCAGACTGAGGTTACAAACCGGACATTGGGCAATATGGTACGAAGTGTCTGTGGAGAGAAGCCAAAACAATGGGATTATGCACTACCACATGTGGAGTTTGCATATAACAGTGCAGTCCATAGTGCAACTGGAAAGTCTCTATTTTCCATTGTTTATACTGCTATACCTAACCATGTTGTAGATTTGGTGAAACTGCCTAGAGGCCAGCAAACCAGTGTGGCAGCGAAAAATTTGGCTGAGGAAGTAGTAGCTGTTCGTGATGAAGTCAAGCAGAAACTTGAGCAAACTAATGCCAAGTACAAGGCTGCTGCAGATCGGCATAGGCGTGTTAAAGTGTTTCAAGAAGGCGACTCTGTGATGATATTTCTGAGGAAGGAGAGGTTTCCAATTGGCACATATAGCAAGCTTAAACCGAAAAAATATGGTCCTTACAAAGTGCTCAAACGGATCAATGATAATGCCTATGTTATTGAGTTACCGGATTCCATGGGAATTTCCAATACTTTTAATGTTGCAGATTTATATGAGTTCCGTGAAGATGAGGTCCTTTATCCAGATCATAACTCGGGGTCGAGTTCTTCGGAGGTGGAGGGGACTGATGTAGAACAAATGGCAGATTTTATCGCGGTTGAGCTAGAAAAAGGACGTAGCGGGAATTTGCAGATTTGTCGTCCGAGCTCCGATTAGGACGCAAAATACCATTTCGGAAAGGGAACGATGCCACGAGTCAAACTCACAGCTATGCTGTGATTTATGATGAATTTTGGCATCCTGAGGTCGTTTGGCCTTCCAAAACGGCATTCAAAGTTTCGTAGTTAATTTTCGGAATAAATTCTGTTTTTAAGTTTTAATGTAATAACTCCCCTAGCAGCTCAAGGGTTGAGAGATGTGTATTTAGTCAGAGTTGGTGAACGTTTTCAGTATCTCAGATTTTAATAAAATTATTCCAAGAGAATTCCTCTTAATTACTGGTGGAATCCAGATTTCTTGTTACTCAAGGTTTTCGTTTGAAACCTTTGTTGCTTGTGCTGCGTCAATATCTTATCTACATCTTCATTTCTCATATTTTAGATTTCATTTCTCAGATTTTAGATTTCATTCTCCATTCTCAATGTCAGACATGGAAGATGTTTTGGATAGGCAAGAGCGAGAAAGGCGAGCAAGAATGCGCAGAAGAGCTGCAAGCAAAAGGGTGCAGAGAGAACTAGATCTTTTGCATTTTCTACATCAATTGCCCTATCGTGCTCTTGTTGTTTCATGTCCATTTCAATTCTCATGGCTTGCATCTTTGAAAGTTCCTCCAAAAATTTAGATGATGACTTGGTAGAATGACTCCCTTTCTTCGCCTTCGCCGCTTTCCTCCCAATAGGCCTCGGCTCCTTTTCGATAGGTGAGTCTTGACTCATCGAGGAATCCATAGGTGAATCCGATGCCGGTGTCTTATGGAGTGGCGTCTCGTTCAAGACTACCGTCGGACCCGTTGGAATAATTTGGAATTTCTTACAATTCTTCACCACCTTCCAACAATGGGTATGGTTGAAACTTTTTTTTCCTTGCCCAGTAGCACCAAAAAACATTTGTGCTTGTATAGTCTATTAAAAAAAAATGAAAATGCAAGAAACTTTAAAAATTATTGGCAATGCAACAAGTATAAAAAAAAAATGGAAATACAAGAAACTTTAACAATTTATTAGAAATGCAAAACAAAATTTAAATATTGCAACAAACATTCATATTAATATTGGAAATACAAGAAATATTAACAAAATATATAAATTGCAAGAAATATTTAAATAAACTTTAATATGACATATAAATTAATAAAACAAAAATTACAAATAATTTACCTCACTGGTAAGGTTTTCCTCGCTTCTATGGTTGTCCATCGCCTTTGCCAAGGCAACCCACCATTTCGCCAACTCTTTGTTAACAATTTTCCACCTACTAGATAGTGCCTGATCTGTACGGGTCGAACCAATTACCCTTTCACAAAAATCCTGATGAATTTTTTTCCACATATGACAGAATTTCATCTCATTGCCTGTTACGGGACAATGACTAATGTGGAGCCAAGACTCACACAAGCTAACATCTTCCATGACGCTCCATGCCCCTCCGGTTTCACTAGAAGAACCCATAAATTTTTCTAGAAAAATACAACTTCAAAGTGAAAAAAATATTGACTACAAAGTGAATAATGGTAGAATGATAAGAAAATGTATGAAGAGTTGGTGTTAAAAGTGAAGAGTATTGGTTGGTATTTATAGGAAAAAAAATCAATATTTTTTGGGTATTTTTTCAAAAAATTTTCAATTTTTTTTCATGTTTTTTTTTGGGCAGAATAACAGCTACCATTGGATTGCTGGAAGAAATGAATCGAAGCACCCAGAGCATTGCCACGTAGAAGAGAGTCGTTGGGTGCGAGTTTCGATTTTTTTTTCGCGAAAAATGGCTGCCGTTGGATTTGGAATAAAGTGGATCGGACAGCTGCTGGGAGCGCCACGTGGAATAAACTCGTTGGGGGGTCATTGTAGCGGGCGCGTCAATTTTTTTTTAATGTCGCCAATGTTAAAAAATTTTAAACAGCAGCACTGACGTCAGCCCAAAACGAGTTTTTCTCCTCGGGCCGAACCTCCCCAAGGGCTAGCCCAGGCAGATTTTTTTTGCTGGGGCCCACACCTTGCCCTGACATATTTTTGTTGCTGGAAACACTTTTTTGGTTTGCCCCTGCCCCCCCCCCCCCCCCCCCCCCCCCCCCCCCCCCCCCCCACCCAGGCCCCTTGCTGGAAATGCTCTAAATCGCAGTCGTTCTGGACTTAACTCTCGCTGCATGTGGTTCGCTGCTTTTTCTCACGTGGGACCTAGTTGGGTTTCATGGGCTTCAACCAGCTCCATATATTTGTGGACTTAGTTGCAACCTTCCGGTGGGCTAAAGTATTGTGAGGGCCTTATCTATGGTCCTTAGGTGATGTCTTATATCTTAATCGTTCGATCAAACTAACTAATTTGATCTAACAGTTAGGAGATAAGGTCTTACTTAAGGACCATATATAAGGCCCTCACTATAAAATTCTTAATCCAACATAACATATCAAATCCAAATTTTCGAAATAAAAGAAACATCTACAAGTACCTGATGACCCAAACTCGGAAACCCATTTCATTGGGTAGGAAAGGAAAGATAGAGTCATTCTATAGTGGGTGAGGCCATATATAAGACCATCACTATAGGTTCTTGAGGAAAGAAGGTAAGCTCCAAGCAAACAACTTAATGCATTGGGCTTTTTATATTACCAAACCTTCAGACCTATGCCCACAAGCCCACACCATCTAACACCAACTTAATTTACAAATATACCCTAAAACCCCCAAAACCCTAAGACCTAGAACCTTCTATCGTCTACTAGAACTTGATCGCCAAGTAGTTCCCCTCCTCCCCAAACCCACATGTTTTAAAAGAAAGATCAGCAATCGCCCTCTTCCCCAAAGAAAAACCCAAATCCAATCTGAGCCAACAACAGTAGCAGTCTCAGAAACAGAGGCACAAATGGCTAGGCGTTTGATCCCAACCCTCAACCGTGTCCTGATTGAGAAAATCATCCCACCCTCTAAAACCACCGCCGGCATTCTCCTCCCCGAGTCATCCACCAAGGTAAATACTACCATTTTCTTCTTAAAATGTGTCTCTGAGTAAATTGTCAATGATTGATGACTTTGTGTGGATTTTAATTTATATGGGTGTGTACAGCTTAACTCAGGGAAGGTGGTCGCTGTGGGACCAGGAGCCAAGGATAAGGCTGGGAATGTGATTCCGGTGGCTGTGAAAGAAGGTGATACAGTTCTTTTGCCTGAGTATGGGGGCACCCAAGTCAAGCTTGGTGACAAAGAGTAAGTCTTTTTGTTCTATATTTTCTCTGTTTTGCCATTGTATGTTTTAGGGGTTTCTTCCATTTATGACTTTTGGTTTGGGTTTTTGGTGGGTTGGTGTTGTGCAGGCTCCATTTATACAGGGATGAGGACATCTTGGGCACTCTCCATGAATGAGTCATTGGATTGGATAGTATGTTTTTTTTAAAAGGATATTGCTATTCAATTTGAGGGTCAGATGTAACTGATTAATTAGCGGATTGGACTTTCTCATGGATGTTAGTTTTCTTTGAAATGAACTGATGGAAGCCCCTATCAATCTATTTATTTCAATCTTCTGTTAGGTTTGGATTTTTGCACTGGAAATTATGGGCAAAATTTAGAAATAATTTTGTATCTTTTTTGTTGCATACTAGTCTCTGAATTTGTCAATTATGCTAAACTCAAGGGATTCACCCAACACATGCTGCAATTATAACCAAAATGTGATTTATAAAGTAGCTTAGATTGCGATTGGATTTTGAAAATTCTTCTTGCTTTCATATCCTTTACCTCTTTCTTTTATAAAATGGGATTTGATTTCCGCAATTGTTTCAAAAGTGGTGTGTTTTTGGTCAAATGTGTCCTCTTGATTTATTAGGAAAGCTGCGTGATTATAATTGATGCATATTAATTCTCCTAATTCTGCGTACGTACTGTGTTTCAAAGCTGGTCTATTCTGTTTACTCTGTTTCCATCCGCATCATGCCGACCCCATGTATGTACAAATAAGATTCTGCATCCATGTCTTGCATGCATGAGGTATGTTCATTTTAAATGTGCAAGCAAACACCATAATTTACTTATTACGTTGTGATTTGAATTGGATAACATAATTCCTTGCCCATTCCTTTGATTTTCATGGAAATGCTATAATGAATGGTGTGATGAACTCCACGTTGAACCCCCTCACCAAATTACCTCATTATAAAAGCTCCCTTGATTTCATATTCTTATTTACCCTCTTTTATGTTCTGGATTGGATTTGCAATCTGATAATCAATTGGGCCTTAAATTTGCTGTGGCATGTGTGTTTAAATCACATGTTATGGCCCACTGAAAAGTTCTCAATGCTTCCTGTTATGTGAGCCCAATTCCCACAGAGAGAGAGAGAGAGAGAGAGAGAGAGAGAGAGAGAGAGGTAGCTTTCAATATCAATTCTGGCTTGCTGATTTATTTATGGTAGCCTTGTCGTGTGGGATTTGTGGATTTGTATTCAGATTCTCATAGCACCGTTTTTCTCCTTTAGTTCCTCTCAGCATCCTCATCCGTGTAAATTACTTCTCGTCTTTTTCTATATTTTTTTTGGACGAAATCCTTTTCTAGTTCCTTCTCGTCTTTTTCTAGTTCCTTCTTATCTAATAAGGTTAATTAGTGATGCCCTTTCCTCAAAGTTCCAACTACTACTCTATTAGGAGTTGATTAAAACGTTTAAAATGTCTCTTATGGAAGTGGAAAATGCGTTTGCATTTGCGAGGGGTTTTAGTCTTTAAGATATATTTCAATTATCATTTCCAAGTTGAACTGAAAATCGTTGTAGTTTGTTTTATAATGTTCCATCCTTTTCACCCCTCTTATTTGTATCTCCATATTCATTCATTTGAATGAAAAATATCAGCAAATGAGGTTAGACCAGTTGGTCAGGATATTGATTCTGTGCTCTTGAACCCAAGTTCTCCTTCTCCTCCTCGGAAACTAGATTGAGAATTTAAATTATTACTCGTATAAAAAAAAATTATAAAAGAAATACCCGCAAAAAATGATCAAACGGTTCCTGCACCTGTCACTTTCGAATTTCCATCTGTAAACGTGAATGTTGAACACCACAAGCCAGACATAAGCTTCAATGTTAGAAATAAAAAGCTGGCAATGAAGGGGAGCGGGTCCATGTGGATTACATAGATTACCTTATGTTTTCCCAACTTTATGAGTTGGATCCCAACATATAAGAGGACGAGTACAAGAGGTAAGTAGCTAACTCATCCATCCATTTCTAGAGATCTCGTTTGTTGGTTGGGGCTACTTTTATTTTCCCAACTCCATTATAATTGGAAAATCTTTTTTCTTGACAGGATCCTTAAATTTTGCCTATGGCATTGGCAGTTGGCGCATAGCCCATATTTTCTGCACCCAATGTAAATTTAACACATATTTAATGTAAACGAAATCATATGGTAATTTCCATTACACTAAATTAAAAAACCAAGTAAAATATAATTTCCATTTCACATTATTGGCACACATATGAATGATACAACCAACTAGTGCTACAGCCAATTTGTTTTTTATTTATTTATTTAAAAAGCATGGCCATTTGAGTGGTAATATCCGAATAAAGTAATATTCCAAATTTCAAGACTTTTTTTTGGGGCCCCTAATAAAGTTAGTATGTCAAACATCCCCCCAATAGCACCTCATTATGCCACGTGCCCCTCCCCAACCAAAGGTAGATCCTATTTTAAAATAAACAAAAAGGAGTAAATAATTAGAGAAAAATAATAGGACAACCCTTCTACAGCACACAATTACTTGTACCGGGAGGCACGATATCTCTTTTTATACTGCAATTAATTATTACTATTTTGCAGTTTCCCCCTTCAAAAGAATCGAATAAACAAAGTAACTTGTTATTGTAAAGTTATCCGTGGTTAATAAAATAATAAAACAATGAAAAATATAAATAATTTTTATTTCATAATTCTCTATAGGGAGTATTTTTACTCACCACTTTAATCAAGGTGTACTATCATCATCCTTCTCAACACTTGATATGTGTCAATTAACATAATAATGGTTTCATAAAACGAAGTAAATAGTTAACTATGATCAGTGGAAACGTGTCAAGTATTGAAAAGGATGATGAGGATACATATTAAGTTAAAGTGATGTGGAAAAATATTTTCATTATGTATATCATTAGATAACAACAATAATAAATGTTGACCCTATCCGATAAAGAAGGTTGATATTTCACATGAGGATATATTCCTCTAATCTAATTTGTTTACCCAAAAAACAGAAACATATAGCATGGATGGATATTTATACTTGTGATATTCAGAGAAACGTATCTCTAAAGAATCTCTGGATCCATTCCACATATACAAGTAATTTGTGGTGCAGTCAACTTTTTGCCATTTTCCTGATAATCATCAGCCGAATTTCCCATTTGATGATATGTTTTTTTTTTTTTTTTTTTTTTTTTTTTTTTTTTTTTTTTTCCCCCCTCCATCTTTCACCAAAAACCATCATGTCAAATGCATTCAATCTTAATCAACATTGATTAGCATAATCCTCTCATTGCATCATCTTATCAAATTAAATAAATCCTCATTGCATTTATTTATGCTAAATAGATTTGACAACATTTGACGTAGTTTTGAAATACTTTCAATTGGCTTTGGTCTTCTATGCATTATTTTTGCAACAAGTCATCCTCATTTCAAAGCAAAAACAAAAAACAAAAAAACAAAAAAACAGAAAAGAAAGAAGCCCTTGTCATCCCTGAGAGGAGAAGCACGTGCACGCCCAACTCATTCTTGTTCGAATCTATTTCATTTCAATACGAACACTTCTTCTTTCTCTTTCTTATTTTCTGTGTCCACCTTCTCTCTCCCCCAACATTTTCTCAGAAGAGACCCAATTCACAAGAAACACAAACACACACAGAGAAAAAGAAAAGAAAAGAAAAAAAAGACAGAGAGAGAAGGCCACATGACGTAGTACATAGAGAGAGGGAGAAAGAGAGAGAGCGCAGCAGAAATCCCAATGCACCCATACAATCGGCTACCGAGTAGCGGACACAACAGCCCATCGCCGCCGCCTTCGCCACTCCGCTCCCCCCGGTTCAGACACAGCCGGTCCAAAGCAGGTGGCCGGTTCAACCAGCCGGGTCGGACCCTAATCCAGCGCATCGTCTGGCACCTCCTCTCCGTTCTCATCCGCCGCCAGGGGTTCTTCCTCTTCGCCCCTCTCCTCTACATCTCCGGCATGCTCCTCTACATGGGCTCCGTTTCCTTCGAGGTCGTTCCCGTCATTTCACATCGTCCTGCTCCCGGCTCCGTTTACCGCAGTCCCCAACTCTACGCCAAGCTCCGACCCGAAATGGATGCCGATAACTCCTCCGCCGATGCGGTGCGTTTCGTCTCGTCATTACTTCCCCTGTTGTTGCCCGATTTTCTCTTTGAGATCTTGTCCAATAATTGTTTTCCAGCATTACATGATTTCGAATTTCAATCAATCTGTTTTTTTGTTTTTGTTTTTCATTTGACATAATTTCAGGACGAAAATCAATCATGGCAAAGTTGTTCTGATTTAGACTACATAGGATTGCTTGGCGTTCCTTCCTACCTTGTTTAGTAATTAGTACTATATCGGCCATCCTCCTGCTTATGCTTTAACCTGGAGATTTGAAATCTTTGCGTAAACGAACTATGAATGTGAACAATCAATCTTCAAATTTGCAGATAATCAACCTATTGTCTTTTAATCAATCCTACCTTTATTACTTGGACATACTCATTTTCTTTCTTTGTGCAGAAATTTGACTTATTGCTATTTATACAACAAATAAGTAATTCATCATTGAGATAAAATGACAGGAAAAAGATATAAAAAAATTAAGCTATTACATGGGAAGCATTGCATACAAGTGGGATTTGAAAAAATTGTTTCTTATTTTTCTTTTTGAATCTTCCCTTGTTTCTCTCCCTAGTTAGGCCACTCTTAGAGATCTTGGAATTTCTCGATGTAGTTATGGCTTAGAAATTGGTTAATTGAAAGGAAGGGGATGTAATGAGGTAAAATACAGTTGGTTAACCTTGTTCCTCATTCCCTGGCTGCTCTGCTATTGTCTGATTTTATCTGCCCCTCCTATGCATCCATTCCAACTCGCTGACAATCTGTCAAATTCTATGCAGATCTCAACTGTATGGAAACATTCCTATAAAGGTGCTGAGTGGAGACCGTGTGTAAACAAGTCCTCTGGAGGTACGAGTTACCACAACTAGTTCTTGCAGTTTTATATGATAATGGCTATGGCTGCTGGTATACCTTTTTTTTCCTACGCTGGAAACTGCATGCTTAATTCATACTCCCCCTTCCTTTTTGATATTTCCATACTGTAACATTATATCATTCATTTACTTTTTAGATAGGCACATTTATATGTTGGTTTCCATCTTCATATGAGTTCCGAACTTGATCATTTGGTTGCTTTTTCGTAGGTTTAGCAGAGTCAAATGGTTATATATACATTGAGGCAAATGGTGGTTTGAATCAGCAGAGGACTTCAGTAAGTTTAATTCCTCGTTTGGTTGCGTATTTCTTTTCTTGTTTGTGTTTGTGCTTTGCCTATTCTGTTCTGAATATTATTATTTGTAGCAACTTTCTTGACTCCTTGATACATGGTTGTTGTTGATTCTTTCTAGATATGCAATGCAGTTGCTGTTGCAGGATATCTTAATGCAACACTTGTAATTCCCAATTTTCATTATCATAGCATCTGGAGAGATCCAAGGTTTGTCAACACTTATCATTTTGATGTTGTGTTTGTAGGATCAGGGTGCCTAACAATGAATATCCATATCTATGAACCCTCCCAGGGTATTGAAATTTGCAACTAAAATATGAGGTACATAATAGCAAACAAATCTGAGGTACATAAAAAACAGTGTGTGAATTTTGGCAGTGTCGTCTATGCATCTTGACTTATCTGAAAATTTGACTTGATTCAGTCAACCCTTAAACTCAAAAAGAAGAAAGCTGAAGGATGGATAAAAGTGTAAAGATACATTATAAGATAGAAGGAATAAAGTGACATAAGGTGCTAATACAGCATTTTATTTTCTTTTGGGTTGGCATGAACGCTGCCTCACATATATTCTGTTTGTATGGTTGTACCTTGCTTAAAACCTTGTAGCTTTATGAGGAGTTTTCTGTTGAACTGATACGAATATTGTATTTACGGTTTCATTCTCACATAAACTGGACTCTGATTTTCTTCTTCTTTTATTTTCAGTAAATTCAGAGACATCTATGATGAAGATTATTTCATCAGTATGTTGGAAAATGATGTACGCGTAGTTAACAAGGTTCCTGAATATTTAATGGAACGATTTGACCACAATTTGAGCAATGTATACAACTTCAGAATAAAAGCATGGTCTCCCATTCTGTATTATAAGGATGCAGTTCTCCCAAGGTTACTTGAAGAAAAGTGAGTGAGAAAATTTTAACTTCAGTTGGCCCCTTTATTTATTTATTTAAAATTACTTTCATTATGTTGTCGTGGTACATGTTGTGCTAAACAGTGAAACTTTGCTTCTACATTAGCTATGGTTTAGTAGTTTCTATTGCACAAATGGTGTATTTGTCAAAAAAGGGGGGAGAGGGGGGAGGGAGAATATGGAGGAAAAAATATAGGGTCTGTAAAATCTGTTGTGTTGCTTGTCCTAGTCATTTAATCTGTTAAAGAGTTGCCTTAGGTATCAACACTACTTGTGTGCAAGTAGAGGTTGTAAATTTCGACCTCAACCTACCGACCCACCTGAATCTGGTGATTTTGGGATTGATACTTCTTGGCTGTTTTCTATCCAATCCAAATTCTGCTCGGTAGATGAGTTTGATTAAACTTGTCAATGTGACCTCAACCTGATTACTGTTCATCGATTATTGATTAATTCTTTATATTGTTTTATAACTATTTTAAATGAGATCCAGTAACTATATGTTCTGTTTTATTCGGCAATAAAATTTGAATAAGCATTGCTAAAAATAGTGTTAAATACTTAAAAAATTTATGGTATATGGAAGTGAACTAATATTGACTGTTATACAGGTTTTGCAAGAATTGTACTTTGTTGTTGTTGTATCCAGTGCAGATTATGGAGATACTTATTGTTGCATCAATTTTGTGAAAATGGGCGTGGCATGATTCATGCAATTCTTGTACAAAATGATGCTTAATGTTGGTTATATTTATGGACAAAACAGGGTTATAAGGATTTCTCCTTTTGCAAATCGATTGTCATTTGATTCTCCTCCTGCTGTTCAACGGTTAAGATGCCTGGCAAATTATGAAGCTTTAAGGTTTTCAAGTCCTATATTAACTTTGGGAGAAACTTTGGTTGCAAGAATGAAAGAACGCAGTGCAAATTATGGTGGCAAATATATTTCAGTGCATCTTCGGTTTGAAGAGGTTTGTCTTGATCAGTTATTAGTGTAGTATAATTAACTTCTATTTAACCTCCATGAAGAAAATATCATCTTCCTTTAAGAAGTGGAATTTACTGATCTCCCATGTGTAGGACATGGTTGCATTCTCTTGTTGTGTTTTTGATGGTGGAGAGCAAGAAAATGAAGACATGAAAGCAGCAAGGGAAAGAGGTTGGAGAGGGAAATTTAGCAAACCTGGTAGGGTTATACGTCCTGGAGCAATCAGGATTAATGGAAAATGTCCTCTCACTCCTTTAGAGGTATATCTTTTGCTTTTGTGTAGTTCCTTCCCGTGTATTTAATTATGTAGTGACTATTCATTCACAAACAATGAAAGAGCAGTAAGTTTTGCACAAATTCTAGTTAAGCAATTTTAGGTTTTGCATGAATTCAAGTTTAGCAGTATAAACTCCATATTGCTAGAAGTTTCATCAGGTAGTCAGTCAGCATCTTCATCTGTTTGTCATTTCATTTCCTGATAAAACAAATGATCATACCTTCAAAAGACAACTGGTGTAGCACAAATTATTTTTCTGTTTGAAATTTTTTATTCCCAAGGATTCATAATATATATATATATATATATTTATTAGTTGAATAGGTAAACTTATGGCCTCAGAATGGAGGGTTAACCCTCCCCTCCCTGGTCTTTTACCTGTTGTGCCATTTCTGTGTTTGAACCCAGCATATGAGGCACTTGCATTGCAAGGCAGCCTATGCCACTGTCCCATTGTGCCATCTGCCAGCTGGGGTCCTCTAAATTGCTGTTTTGCAACACTGTTGTAACTGTGACCATTGTTTCTATCCTTCTCTTCAATTGTTTCTTTCACTTTAAGAAAGACTTTATGAGTTTTTAAATTTCTTTAAAATTCTAGAATATGAATATTTGATTATTTCTTTTTCTGTGTCATCTAATCAGGTTGGCTTGATGCTTAGGGGAATGGGATTTGATAAGAACACATTTATCTATTTGGCATCGGGAAAGATATACAATGCTGAGAAGACAATGGCCCCATTACTGGAAATGTTTCCTAATTTGCAGACAAAAGAGATGTTAGCATCAGATGAGGAGCTTGCTCCTTTCAAGGTCTTAATATTCTTAGTTCTGTTTCTTTTCTTCCATATTTGAGGTGTGGTATAATACCATTGTTCTGACTTGAGTTACTATTGCTAGAATTTTTCTTCCAGGATGGCTGCAACAGATTACACTGTTTGTCTTCACAGTGAGGTATTTGTGACAACTCAAGGAGGGAACTTTCCCCATTTTCTCATGGGACACAGAAGATACTTGTATGGTGGACATTCCAAGACTATCAGGCCCGACAAGCGGAAGTTAGCATTACTCTTTGATAATCCCAAAATTGGGTAGGTATGCATGATCTTTACGGCTAGTTTAGTCTCATTGAAAAATGCATTTTTACACGTATTGAAATGGCTGGAAGGAGGTTACATTTGATGATATGTGTGTCAGAACTAAATTATAGTCCTTTCTTTTATGGGTGTGTGGCTGGAATAGGCAGGAAATGAGCAACGCCTTCTATGGTTTTGGCTAGAGAAGAAGAACAGAAGAAAATACCATATTATGGATTGTCATGTATTTGAGTTAATATGAACAAAAATGTCTGGGACACCAAACTACCCATTGTGATGCAAATTTCTGAACTTGAGCACTACCAAACTACCATAGGAGTAACATCTCTTGGTTTTGTTGTTTATTCCCAGATGGAAGACTTTCAAGCGTCAACTGCTGGGTATGAGGTCCCATGGTGATTCAAAGGGCTTTGAGCTGAAGAGACCAAATGACTCGATATATACCTTCCCATGCCCAGATTGCATGTGCCGCTCAAACAAGACAGAGGATGCAAGAGCATTGTCCGCTACGTGATTTTGAATGAGGACGTTGTGATGGGTGTTCCCCATACCCTTGATTTTGTGAGGACACTTTACTGCTGACCCCCCTTTTGTGTTGCTGTTCTTTCATTCTTTTTTCTGCCCCTGTCCGGCTGTAAGGGGCATATACACCAATTTTGGGAGCTACAAGGAATTTATTGGAGGTCACAGTTACCTAATTATTTTCCCGGGATTGGATCGTGAGGAAATTGCATAGTTTTTATATGATGCCAGAAGAGAAGATAGTGATACATCAATCCTTCTATCACAGGAGTTTCCCGGGCGTTGACTGAGGCATTGTTTCATATCTGCAGCTGCTGTATTTAACAAGCTGTGTACTGACAGATCGCATTCCTTCACAGCCTGCCTGCTTTTGCCATGTTTGTAGATTAGTTAGAGTTTGATCTGCAAGTGCAAATAGGATCAGGTTGAATTTTTTGTACATTTATCCAAAGGTCAGGGTACTCAAATTTCATTTTTTCTTTTCTGAGTTCTTTCAGGTTTTCATTTATGTATCATTTCATGCTCTCTATCCCCACCTTACGAAGAGGTTACCTTAGTTACCGAAGCTCACAGGATACCTTTAATACTCCATCAGTATATTCATTAATTTTTGTGATTTAGCGGGGGCATGAATGTGATTATAGTTTGGCCGCAATGTTTTTGAAATTGTAATTTGTAGTGTTTCGTCTCAGTGGGCCAGAAAGCTTTTGCCTTGTTTTCTATATTTGGCTTGGCTGTATTTATGTCCCGCCTTCGCCTTGTGTGTTAACATTCTGCGTGCGTTTTGATTGTTCTAAGAGCAAGCCAAATGGAGGGCCTATCCGCCGCAAGGCTGCAAATGGTACAGCCCCAACTCAAAAAAGCAACTCTAATGATGATGAATGGTGGGCTCTAAATGGCTCAGCCCACCGGAGGGTTGCAACCACACCCATATATATAGGAACTCGGTTGAAGCCACTGAAACCCGCAGGACCCACTTATTTTTGGACTATTGGCACGCGTGAACATAAAAAACTGATCTTCAATTGCGCAAGACTTGCGGCTGCTCCATTACTCGCTGAATAAAGCCTTTTTTTAATTTAAATTTATTGTTTTCCAAATAACTGGCTGCTCCTAATCACTTCCATTGTTTTTTTGGTTTTGCAAATCAACGTCTCTTCTTTTATTGTTTTTTGTTTTTTTTTCTAATCACTTTTTTTCTTTCTTTCTAATTTACAATTTTTTTCATTTCACTCAAATTTAAACTCTTTTTTTTTTCCCTATAAACACTTCTGCAAACAATGTCTATAAATCGAAATGTAGTTTCATAATCTCGTCAAAAAATATATATTTTTAGTTGAAATGTTCATAAGAAAAAAATTAACAAAATATAAATATACATGAACAAAAAAAAAAGTAAGGACTTAAATCAAATTTCATCATAAAAAGATTTAGAGCTCAAATATAGAGCCTACCACCATTATGGGAAATATACTTTTAGAGCCATGAATATTCATTTTGAGCTCTAAAAGGGACTCTATCCACTATATTTAGAAGGGAGTTTCACTAAAACACCAAAAATGGGAGCTGAAATTATAAAAAAAACCCAACACCCAAAACACTTTATAAACACACCAAAAACTCATCATTACACACACTCAAAACCCATTTATAAACACACCCAAAAAATATACAATTGTTGACTTTTGGGTTGATTTTGGGTGTGTTTCTATGTTTAAATAGTGTTTGAGTTTTTTTTATAAATACATGTCTAGGATTGGATTTATTTATAAATTTGTATATTTAGAACGAGAGTTTTACTAAAACACCCAAAATGGGAGCTGAAATTATAAAAAACCCCAACACCCAAAACACTTTATAAACACACCAAAAACTCATCATTACACACACTCAAAACCCATTTATAAACACACCCAAAAAATATACAATTGTTGAATTTGGGGTTGATTTTGGGTGTGTTTCTATGTTTAAATAGTGTTTAGGTTTTTTTATAAATACATGTCTAGGATTGGATTTATTTATAAATTTGTATATTTAGAACTCCCGCCATTGGGCTTGCCCTAGGGCAAAACGTGATTTGATCCAATTGTGATGTTGGTTGATATTTATTTGTTGTCCGCCTGTTTCAAAAATATCGTAAGTCGACCTGATACACTATACAAATGATCATGTATATATGATAAGCACACTATAATAATAAACAATTGACTTAAATTATTATAATCGTTTATATTTTTGAGGCTTCACGACCCAAAAAGATGGGGAATGCTAGCAAACTTCTCTCTAACATTCTTCCTTTTCTGCTTGACATATGTCATTCTTCTTACACTTAAAACAATATCATTAATATATTATACAAGCTAACTTTTGCTTTCCAAGTTTACCCTTACTAAATTTTTCCAAAAAATTTCACAACTTTCTTACCATCTTATTAATTTTTTCTAACATCAATGATTTTTTTAAAAAGGAAATATCTGCTTTTAAGAGGAAATGTCCCTTCTCTTTTTTATTTTTTATTTTTATTTTTTTATTAACACAAAGGGTTTAGATAGAAAAGAAAAAAAAATCCTTTGTGTTTTTAAAAGAGGGACATTTCCTCTAAACCCTTCGTGTTTGAAAAAATCAGACATTTTCTTTTAAAAAATAATTGACATTTAAAAAAAAATTAATAAGATGGTAAGAAAATTGTGAATTTTTTTTTGATAAATTGAATACATTTAATAAGGGTAAACTTGGAAAGCAAAAGTTAACTTGTATAATATATTAATAACATTGTTTTAAGTGTAAGGAGAATGACACATGTCAAGCAAAAAAGGAAAAAGGTCCAAAGGAGAAGGTTAGAGAGAAGGTTGCTAGCATTTCTAAAAAAAGATTATTGATGGTTTTATTAGAGTGACTTTGAATAAATTCATGTTAGTTTTTGTTTTTGAATACAAATGATAATTTAATGGGGATTCAAACTGAAATGTAAGAGAGAGGGCGATGGCTCACTGTCTTATTCAATGCTTAATTAATGTATGTAAGGCCATCTCCAACCTAAGAAGTGGAAACTCAAAATTTGAGTTTTGAGCCCAAAACTCATCTCCAACCCATGTATTTTGAGGGGTAGAATTTGGGGTGGAATACCAGTCCAAGTTTTCATGGACTGATAATTTGTGTGGAGCCCAAATCCTTGCTCCACAGCCCATGTGAAAGAGGAAAAATGGGCGGGCCCCATGTGGCAAGCTGTTTGCTTGCACTTTTGTTGAGCGACAAGTAGCAGCATCTGGAGAAAGAGACTCTGCAATCAAAAGGCCCAATTTGAAAGTTGAATTTGTTTGTTTGTTTTTATTTTTTATTTTTAAATGCAACTGTTATATCCATATAAACTTTTAGGATTAATTTTAGGCAATTTGAACCGTAAAATTTCACATCCATCGGCTCAAATTTATCCAACGGTCAAAATAATATTTATAATTCATTTAAATCAAATCCAATCCCAAAACTGATTCCAGACTCTATAAATAGCCATTCATTTGGTAAATAATCAACCAAAAATATATTTTTTTCCTTTCTCCCATTGGTAAATAGCCATTCATTTGGTGAATAAAAAGCTTGTTGTACTTTTATTATTGTTTTGAAGTGAAATTTTATTATGTTTTGAAATTTTAATTTTTTAGGTTAAAATGTTTAGAAAATTAAATCATGAACGTTGAGACAAAAATAATGTTAAAAAAGTTAGCAAGAAAAAAAAAATTAGGGTTTAATAATTTTTAAACAATTTAATAAAGTTGCGGACTCAAATTATGAGTCTGCAAGGTTGGAGGGAAATTTTTTTTGAGCCATGAAAATACATGAATAGTTGTATTTTAGAAGTCGGAAATTTGAATTTAGTCCCGACATGGTTGGAGATGACCTAAACCAACAAAGATGTGATCCAGGTTAGTTTTATAATTGACTGAATAATCAAATAGGTTGCGTTGCCCTTTTATTAGTGTTTTTTTAAAAATAAAAAATAAAAAAATTTAATAAAAGGAAAAAGGAACTGAAACGTGGCATTGCACCCTTTGACCTTAACAAATGGGAGTAAAATTGACAACCCCGCGAGAATATATGGATCGGGATCCTATTAATCCAACCTTTCAACGTTTCAATTCTAAAGAGAAGATAGAAACACCACGGAGGACAGGACACAAATTACCTCTTTTGCCTTTCATAATCAGAATCAGAAGCAGAAGCCATGGGCATCGTCGGAAATCTCAGTCCAGACGAACTCCACTCCTTCAACTCCCAAGGTAAACACAACCAACTAACTCCTCCTAAATGTTCTAAGAAAGCATTGCTTTTGACTTTTTTTGACTTGGAAACATGTGTGTTGAGTTGTTAACTTGTTATATAATTTTCTGATTGCAGGTTATTTTGTTATAGAATCGTTTGCCAGTGCGGAGGACATCGATGCCTTGAGGAAGAGAATGGACCAATTGCTTCACGACTTCGACTGCTCCGCCACCGCCTCTATTTTCTCTACCAAGAATCAGGTGTCTTAATTGTTTGCTTTTATTATGTAGTTATTTATGTTTATCCGTAATTAAACTCGTTTCTTTTTCTTATTCAATTGAATTTTGCAGCAACAGTCGACGGACAATTACTTCTACGAAAGCGTCGAGAAGATTTCGTTTTTCTTCGAAGGTATACGACTATATGTTTCAATTTTCAACAACCCTGAATCATTTACTTCTTCAATTCCTGTATTTATGTCTTTCTTTTTATTTTGGTTCTTTCCGGAAAAAAGAAAGAAGATGATTTGTACACTTTTGAACACTTTTGTACAAGTGGAATTTGGTTCCAAATAGTGAAATCGAACACTTTTGCAATTTGGTTAATCCATAATCTCTAGTTTGTGTTGTGCTAAATTGTTGGCACTTCTTGATTTTGGCAGAGAAAGCTTTTGGGAATGATGGAGAGCTACAACAGCCAAAGGAACTTTCCATTAACAAAGTTGGCCATGGTAAGCTCTGAATACTTCTGGATTAATAAAATTTAAAAAAATGAATTCTAGTTTTTTTCCATGCGTTTGAAACTAAAACTAATCTTGTAAAGCACGTGCTCTTTGGTGCAGCGTTACATGAGCTCGATCCAGTATTTAAAGGTTTCTCCTATTCTGAGAAAGTTTCAAGTTTGTTCTCCTCCTTGGGTTATAAAAGGCCCATCATCATTCAGTCTATGTACATATTTAAGGTATTACATCTTCTTGTGTTTAAGGCCTAGTGGTGTCACATAATGTCCTTGTGAGGCTCTAGTACTTTTTAAATGCGAGTTGAGGTAGACCTGAGGTCTATTTGGCTAAGGAAAGGATTGGTTTTTGACAATTGGGCTAATTGGCTGAAAGAACCCTAAAAATATTGGATTCAATGCATTTAAAATGACTAGATACAATTTAACATTGGAACGGAGACTATGTATAACATATGTACACACTTATATGTGAACATATGTGTTTAACAATTTACACATAGATATGCATGCACGCATTCACAGGGGGAGGAAGGAGGTACAGACTTGATCGGCATACCTGCCCCACCCCTGTTAGAACAAGTTTTGTGTTCTTTTGTTAGGATGGGGTCTATAATGGTATCAGTTATGTCTACAGAACTGTGAAATTAGCAATGTTATGATTTAAAACAGTAAAATGCAGACGGCCCTGCTAAATCTTAGTTGTATAATTTCAAATTTCATGATTTGTTGTGGTACATTGTTTTGTATTTTCATGAGTTTGGCTATGTTAATATGTCAATATTGGTTGTTTTTCTTCAGATATGCAAATTATCCTGAGTTTATTTGCAAACTAATGCACAAGAATGTTATTGGCAGCAACCTGGTATTGGAGGTGAGGTAGTACCGCATCAGGATAACTCATTTCTTTATACCGAACCACCAACTTGCACAGGGCTGTGGCTGGCCCTAGAAGATGCAACAATAACGAATGGCTGCCTATGGGCTATACCTGGATCTCAAAAGAGTACCATTCTCCTCTCCCACCTCTTATTTCCTTTTCTGTTTCTTCCTTAGAACACATTTTTTCCTATTTCAAGTTTTATGGTTGTGAGAAAGGCTTTGAAATTGTAAAACTTTCTTGTAATTTGTCTTTGTGTTTTACAGATGGCCTTGTCAGACGGTTCATTAGAGGTGAAGGGGGTGTGACCTTTGATCGTCCTTCCCCTGAGTATGATCAAAAGGATTTTGTGCCTATTGAAGTGAAAGCTGGGTCTTTAGTTGTTATTCATGGTGATCTTATTCATCAAAGGTCAGTTCAAATAAACTCTTTCTGTTGACCTTTAAATATTTTGCCTTAGTTGGGTGGTCTGAAGATCCAACTTTTCCTTTTTTCATGTCGAATGCTTGGACTACAGTTTTGAGAATCAGTCCTCAAAATCAAGGCATGCGTACAGCTTGCATGTGGTGGATACTGATGGCTGCAAATGGGCTCAAGATAATTGGTAATTACATCTTACATTGGAGGATTACTGAGCTTTACCTCTTGTTGTAGGAGTGACTTGTGCAGTCTACATTGAAAGGAAGAATAGTCTGATGGCATTGCAAATTGATTTTTATTCTTAAAGTGAAAAAAGTAACTCCTATTATTGAAAGGAAGAATAGTCTGATACTTAATACTAGTGGTTTTAAATAATTTTTCTTATTTGCTTGAGATCTAATACATTTAAACTGAATTATTCTAAAGAAAGTGCTTTTATCATGAACCAGGATCAGGCGAAAAGTGGAGCCAGAGCCTCTCTATGTATCTTCTTCGGACCTGAAATTCAATCTCTAGATCTGTTATAGTGTATCTAAATTCTCAACCAGACCCATCGTCTACTGTGGGAAAATTGAGGTATCCGCAGTGTATTACATCTACAAGGAATTCTAAAAACGAAAGTGGATAAAAGCTGAGCCATTTGTTATTTTGGATGAAAGAAGCTTGAGCCATTTGTCATTGTAACTTATAATCTTCTCTTAGTCGGTATTTATAGGCATTTACTGCGGTTTAAACTACTGTTCTAACGGTGCATATTATTTGTATGAAAATTTAGTATCAAAACAGTACCTCCTAAAGTGAACAGATCTCTCTGATTAGAAAATGCAACTTCTGTTCTAATTTCGTATCATTTTGGTTGTCCTCTTTGAAAATTTATAATCTAAAAATTGATATTTTGAAGATCTCGTGAATGGTAGATTTAATTTAAGCTATGCAACTGCAGTCCAGATCCCTACCTTTTTTTCCAGTGAGAGAGTGGATCTATCATCACCAACTGAATATCCCTTTTAAGAGAAAAGATGGAAGACTAGTTAGAACATCTCCAACCGATATATTAAAAGTGCCACATAGATATTTAACGGTTATAAATAACATCTCATGTCACTCTAACCAAATTGTCAAAGTTAATGTGGAATGAAGGCTAGAGGATCAGTCGTTACTTTTGACATCTCAAAAGCAAGATGTCAAATGAATATTTTATTAATTTTTAAAGACAGCTGGCTGTTATTTTCATTTATTATTTTCTTCTTTATCTTGAATGATTTGACTGTTACAAATTTTTTCATTCTTTCTCTTTCCAATTCATTTCTTATCTTGAATGAACACTGAAATGTAATAAAACTGTGTAATTGTCAAATTGCCACATTAGCCATCAAATTTAAATTTGATGTTTGGTATTTGACATATGCTCTCTCAAAACATTTCGTTTTTCCTTTCCGAATCACTCATAAGCCTAAATTTGAGGCATCGAACTCATATCAACGTATATTCTTTTGGTGTCTCAATCAATTTACCCACAGAATACTCCAAGACCTCTTGTTTTTCATTTTGTCTTCTCTTCTTAAAGAAGAGATCATGCAGAAGTTGGTTAGGTCAGTTGGTCAAAGTAGTGAGGTCATCCCTTGTTCACCCCAAGTTCGAATCCCTCTCTCCATAAATTAAGTTAATTTAGAGTAATTTAGACTATTGCTTGTATTTGAAAAAATAGAGAACGTATCGCAAATATGTTCATAAAGAAGCTACTAAATAATGGGTGCCAGTATCTTATTTACACGGCAAACTTGAGTGAACATAATGAACAGACGATTGACTACATCTTTAAGACGTTTTGAAAATTACCCCAATGGGGGTCGAGCCCGTGCACGAAGCTGTTCTAACTTTTGAGACAACACCCTCCCTCGTACAGTTGTACCTTCCTTGTACCTTGTCCCTTCTACCATTTTAGTTACTTACATAATAATCATGGTAACCCACCAATTGAGTCAAAAGAATGATGGATTGGATTGAAATTTGGATGTAGTAGTAGCTCTCTTTGGCTGATTAACTACTACTCCAGAAGCTTATTGCAGGTGCTAACGCCAACAGCTGCAGCGAGATGCCAGGCAGCATGAAGGAAGGGAGTCTGAGGAAACATGTCATCAGCAATAAAAAGCACACCTCCCACTAGTGATGACATCTTATGTACATTGTGGGCCGTCCTTAGCTCTGGATCTTTCAATGCTCTTTTCGCAAATGCTACCTGGAAAACAAAACAACAGAATTGATGAGTAAAGTACAATTTTTGTAGAACCAGGAGCTTAACATAAAAATTTTCAGGTTGCCTATGGCTATGACTAGTTACTTAACACGAACTTTTTCATATGATAGAACAGATTACAGGAAAGTCACAAAGTTACCTCCATTATTCCAGTGTGAACGGCTGAAACCATCAGAGGCTGGATCGGTAGAAATAATGCAGAAGCTGCCATCAGCAATTTTGGGTTTTCATTTCTGAGGGCTCTTGAGAGACACTGCAAAAATATGAGTTGATCCATTTTCCGATTATATCAAGCGGGCAACTGAGTAACTTAAAAGAAAATACACAGATAGAACTAATACTTTGTACAGGAAGATATGAAATAAATTAAACATGTAGGAAAACTATATAAGAAATCATATATTGTGGTGTTAGTTTCTGAACCTCCTTTGGTGGTCTGATTGGTTTTTGTTCCTTGAATTTTTTTTTTTCCCTTGATTATCATGATAAGTAGGCTTTTGCAGCAAATTCATTCTATTGGAAAATAAAGGTTACATTGCAGATAATTAAGAGTTAGGGGACTCATGACACTGACAAGGTGTAATCCATGTAAAATTGCCAAAGATGAGTATGAGTATGTACAAATTAATCCTAGAGCTTCTTCAGATGAACAAAATCCAGATATTTTCAGAGATGAGGTGAACAAGCAACCTATCTCAGACTCTTAGTGAGTAATGCAGAAAACCAAAAAATGCTGAAAAATTCTGAAATCCAGTAGTTACTCCTATCGACCAACTCACCTTCACACTCAGAAGAGAAATATTTTCAGTTTATAAATTAAAAAGGCCCTCTTAAGCGCTAACAATTCTAATTCAGATGCATCATTCTATACATTCATGTTTGAGTGAAGAATCACCATTACAATCTTTTTAATGAATTTAATTTTGACTAAAGCAATTTGGCATCATCCAGAAACAACTTCATGGATGTTGATAATAAAGAGTGTGAAACCAACTATTATTTATTCAAGTAATTTTTCTGACTTACTACTGTTGCTGTGGCTATCATTGTATAGTCGGCCCATCTTAAATATTGCCTTAGTTTTCCTCTTGAAGAATGATATAAACTTGAGGCGACTCCAACTCCAATTAATGAATTAGCATATATCTTTGAATTTAGATTCTTCCTGTTTCCCCAAGGAAGAAAAAGTTAATTAAAAGTGATGAATCAATAAGATTACGTATATGTCCATCAACTGTCTTACATAAAAGTATTACCTGGGGGCATGGAGTCCAAGAACTATAAAAGGAAGTGAAGTGAGCACATTAGCAACTGTTTCTACAACACTGTGATCGCCTAACAAAATGGGAAAATGCGTTAACAACAGCTATGTATTTTCCATACAAGAGATTAGATTGCAAGCCTAAAGATAAAAAATGAATTTATATTTATAATACCTTGAATGCAGCCCTGGATGGGCTTCAAACATGGCGGTCTTTGCTGCCATACTCTCCTGGAGACAATGCAGACAAAGTTAATAGCTGTGGAATTGCTTGCATTTGTTCTTCAATGCGTAATTGAATCTATATTGACTTCAAAACTGTGGAAATGTATTATAATTATTTAAAATAATTAGTACTCGTAGCTTAATCTTGTCTCTTTGACGGCAATCACACGTCCCCTAAAATATTATTAGCATATGCTGATAAACAAGTCTCACTCACTGCATAAAAAGTTGCTGATTTGCTCCAACAGCCGAACTTCCACAAGTTGAGTGAGGAAGGTCCCCATCTTGAGTAATCTCCTCTGATTCAAACAGTGAACACGGCACCACACGCACCCCGTGCATGCCCTCTAGGGCTCTACTTGGGTTCAATGTACTCTGGGGGACTCATAAGTTCTTCTGTAATAAGGCAAGCAATCTTTTGCCAGCAAACACTTGCTGGCAATTGTTGGAAGAAGTGTCCCAACTGCGAGCCAATATGCCTATTAAAAGTGTACCACTACAAAACAACAACAATAATTTTACAAATTAAGAGCAGAGCACATGATAATGTTGAGCAACCATTGAAGCTTGAAATTAAGGGAATTTATATATATAAAAAACCACGAAATTTACATCCCATAGATAATGATTTTTTACACATGGTTTTAATTCTTTCTCTGACTGAAAGAGCCCTCTTTGGCTAGGAAAACTGGAAAAGGCAACTCTCCATTAGCATGGGAAATACAAATGGAGAGGTTTGGTTTCTTTCAATCGAACAGTTCATGGCGTAAGATCCCATTCTACAGGGAGGGAGGGGGTCCACAAAGGTTCTACACTCAAAAGAACCCTCTACATTTCAACCAGCCCCCTAAAATTTGCAAGGCATTCCCTTTGGCTAGTTGTAAGATCCCTTCTTAGAAAGCCTTCTCAACACACACACACACACCCCCACTAGCTTCTATTAGAGAAACAACCTTAATCAAAATGCATAACACACCCATACTCCAAACTCCAAAGCTCAAAAAAAAATCAAAAATCAAAAATCAAAAATTGTTTTTATTTAAAAAAAGGCAGATATTTTGAGCTCAAAATCCAACTTAACTGGACGACAACCCAGAAGCAGTTCACATTACGAAGCGGTGTTTTATCAAACGGATTATAAGCACATCCATGTGCATACCAAAACCCCGAATCACAACCATAACCCATTATCCGATTTTCTTCAGAATGCAAACATTAAATTCGCCACCGATAAATAACACCCAAATTCCGAACCAAAACAAAAATTCCATAGTGGTTCATTAATTAAAAAACAAGCAAGCAAGCCACCAACATTGACCTTAAAAAAACATCACAACAAATTGTGCGAATCCTAAGAGAGAGAGAGAGAGAGAGAGAGAGAGAACCTGGGAAGATGTGGAAGATTGGTGGAGCTGAGGAAAGAATAGGAGGTGGGTTGGGTGTAAATAGAAGGGAATGAAATGCTAAAATAAATAGAAAGAGCAAAGGAAGGTTGGATTGAAAGGGTGGTTATTTCAGTTTGAGTTGGAATAAAGAAAGAGAGAGAAGGAGATGCGCATGACTCAGGAATCTTCCTCCAATGTCCGTCGTCCCTGCTCTCGCATATTCCCAAAATCGTATCAAAATGTGCCATCTCATAATATCCTTCCAATATTCTAGATTAATTGGGCAAAGGCCCATATACGATTATCTAGGCCCGTTGGGCTCTTGTCTGATAGACTGATGGCCTATAATTCTATCTGATATCAGATTGGGCCGAAGGTGGCCCATTGTGTGTCTTTTGGATCGGATTGAGATCCACAATCATCGAATATGGGTGTAAGGACCGGACTTACCACTCTAGTCAACTCGTCTAACCCATCTGCCTTTACCACTATCATCTATTATATATAAAGCAAAAGATGGAGAATGATATAACATTAAGAATTGAAATTATTAATTAAACAATGATAATATGGTAAATTCATATTTTTTATATTAAAAAAATTAAAATTAAAAGAAAAATCAGATAATAAATCCTATTTTTATGAAACACAATTACCCAATATTTTTTTTAATTTTAAAATAAATTTACAAAAAAAAATATATATACCTCTCGTAGATGCAGAAAGGCCGGTGCGGAGAGAGGCTAATTTATTTTTATGGAACGTGAGACAAGATTCAAATCAAGACCTTTGATTGATTGATTTTATTTTTGTTGACGATCACAGATTGATCATTGATGTAGTCAATCATGCTTTGACTTGATACCGTTAAATTGATATTATATTATTATGAACAAGATCTGATCACGGTGGACTAGCTAGTCGTGGTCACCCTTCCCAGCTAATGAAATGAAGTAGGCCCTCTCCTCTCCTCCTGTTCCTGTATGGTGGTGGTTGAGTGAGCTGGCATTCCCAATTTTGGTGGTGGCAAGCTATAAGCTGCATGGGCTGGTCTACAGTACTAAATCTGAATGTGACTGATTAAATATCACACGCTTCCAATCATGACTCGGATAAAGACCTACGTTAACACCTTATCAATTTTACTCAACACACCCAAAATTACTACCTACCATTACCAAACTATGCTCTAGAAATAAAATTTACTAATGCTAATATAATATGTTGTTAATGCACGTGCTTATTGTTTACTTAGCTAGTAGAGTAAAATCCCTATATATAAATTATAATTTATAAGGAGTTTCTGTGCACAAGCAAAAGATGGTACGGCCACCGAGTTGGTTTAGAAATGCTCCATTTTTCACAAACGTACATAGATTAGATTTGAAAGTGTTCCGGGGACAACGGCTATTAATACTGGACAGTCCCACACACCACACCCTCTCCAACTCCAAGCCAGCAGCATATATGATATTCATTATAAATATACATATATATTTATATTTATATATGTACAACAACATCAAACCCCATAAAAAAAAAACCAAACAGATACCGAAAAGCAAAGCAAAGCAAGGAAAAACAAAGCAGTGGTGAGTGGTGGGGTGAGTAAAAGGTACAGACTCCCAAGTTTTTCAGAAGAAGTGAAATAAGAAATATAAGAAGGTTCCAGGAATCAAGGGTCAAGATCATGTGCCTAGCGTAGACCCGCCAGACAAGGAAGAATTGCACCACCAGAGGTTTTTAAGCTTCCTCTCTTCTCTCCTTCACTCAACAATCACTACCCAAAATAGAAAAAACCCCAATTCCATAGTGCACAGTGGAAGCTAGTTAGAGCTCACATCAAAGTTTTATGGTTTTTATTAGTCTCTTCCATTACCATTTTTAGTTGGTGCAATGAGAGCTGCTGCTGCTAGAGAAGGCCTACAAAGTAGTAGTGCGACGACAACAACAACAACAACAACAACAACAACAACAACAACAGGAGGAAGCAGACATGGGCGTGGTGAAGCTAGAAATTTTGCAATCTTCTTCTTCTGGGTCATTTTAATTTTTGCTCCAACAAGTAATTTGGTGGTTTCTGCCAGTAGAACCAGTACCAGTCATGGTGATGAGTTGGGTGGTGGCCGGTTCATGAGGCCACCGACAAGGAAAACCCGTTTCCTGGGCAAGGTATCGTTTTATGCACCTTCAAGTACTCCATCTCATGATGTTCATCATTTTGTGGGGATCAACGGTGGTCCGGACAAGCTATATGGAGATGACAAGAGAATAGTTCATACAGGTCCAAATCCCCTTCACAACTAATTGATCATATTGAAATTTCAATATCAGTGGTTGGTTGGGGTTTGATTTGCTGCTGCCGCCCCTGTGTATTCCAGTACTACTAGCTAGGGTTGAATGCTACTAGCTCAGCTATAGTTAGCTAGAATTCTCATCAAGTGAAGAAAAAGGCTGTAACATGTTTTATGTTATCAGTTTTTGTTTTGTTTTTGTTGTTTTGATTAGGTAGAAAGAATGAGAGCATGGCTTTAGCCTTTTTCAGTAGTGTTTGATGAGGTTATGGGCACGGCAGGCAGCAATGCTGAGCGTGGTAAGAGAAAGAAAATGGGGAGGCTAGTGTTAATGCTCTTGTTTCTTTTTGCAGTCATCTTCTTACAGCTTTCTGTACCTCCTCTCTTTACCATTCATTTAATTGTGCTTCAAATTCATTTCTGCACGTATAGTTATTATTCTTCATCTGCTGTCCTCCTTTAATTCTTTCATGCCATGGTTCATTTCCAGCACCCCCATAACCCTAGACATATAACATTGAAGAAAATCAAAATCCCAGGCTAACAATAGTACTACGGGGTCGAATACTAGTTTGGTTACGCAGATCCGACCGTCCAATTGATGCTCCTTCTCCATGATTGTGCATTATTACTGAGGCGTGCAAAATATAATTAGACCTAATCACCCAGCACTGATTCAAAGCAAATGATCCTGACCATTGGTCCTCACTGCACTATTGGAGAAAAAGATCAACGTTTAATAACGAGACACGTGGGCAAGTAGGGCTTGAAGCTTTAAAACTAGGTAGCTTAGCTAGGCTGGGTTTATAGAAATTGATATTTTATTGGCTGGGGTGTGGGACTATTTTGATTGATTGTTCCTAGAAGTCCTCATCTGTATATGGAGACTTAAATGCATCCATTTCTTTATTTCTTCCAATGAGGATGCCTGTCTCTATGGGCCAACACGCTTCCTCACCTCAGTCAGGACTTATTAGGGTTTCTATTCTGATCCCCCCAACATGTTATTAATGCTGCTCAAGTTTTTGCATGGAGCAGAGCCCTCCGGGCACTTCACTCCCCAACCCATCACCTATCTCGTCCTTGCCTTTATTTTACATTTACTACAGGGGCAGGAGGAGGAGGGTGCTCTTATTAGACTTAAATTATTAAGGGCAGCCACAGCTCCACTTCAGATTATAATATTGGTTGTTCTTCAATGTCACCTGTGGACAAAACAAAGTTCAACCTCTCAAGATTGGATCAACAATTAAAGAAACCCATAGAAACTTCCTTGGAATGAGTTGTGTAAGCTGAATCTGTGAAACCTATAAATAAAAAATAAAAATAAAAAAACAGCTCGCCACCCCAAATCAAAATTGGCCAGAAAACAAAAAAGTTTATAATAAATTAATAATCTAATTAAGTAGTTTTTGATTAGTTCAAAAATGAAAAAAGATTGTAGGTATCTCTCCTCACCTAATAAAGATGTCGAGGGTTATTATTTTTGGGGAAAGTGGTATTTCCCCATGAGATGAATGTTTGCTTGGAATCATTCATAAATGTGTGAGTTAAAGAGGGTCTGATCGAAATGCAACTACCTCATCTCTCTCTTTCTCAACTCCCATAAAACCCGTTTATTGCTTCCACCCACCCCAAGATTTTGCATTCCATCGCGAGCTAGGGTTTTTTTTGTTTTTTGTTTTTGAAATTTTAATTTAAATATTTGGTCCATCAACATCTTCATTGAATAAATATGGTCATCTTTTTTTTTTCTTCACCAATTTAGAAATCATAACCGAGGAAGGTCCCCACGCTGGTCGACAAGTTGGCTGAAAGCCAAGTTTATCACAATATCATCAACCACCAAAAATATACTTGATACATACATAATTTTATCAATGTAGACCGCCTTCTTCATCATTACAAGTTACAACTTGGCGATGGTCGATTGGATTGTGGATATATTTAGTTAATGATAATTGGTTTTTGTTTAAGCCAACCATTACCAAAGCAGCATCAATTTCAACAAAATAGGAAAAAAAAGAAAGGCAAGTAGCTAGCGTCAATGGTTTTGTTTTGGGTCAGAGCCAAGTTGGAACATAATAATATAAGATAATGCACTAACAAACAACTAGGAAGAAATGGGCATGGTGACCTTGGGAGTTCAAATGGAGAGAAAATTGCTTGCACTGATTGACCAAAGCAGCGCAGGGTTTTGTTGGTATTTCCTTTCGGTTAACGACAAAGACATGTTTCTTGGAAGAATGATATCTGGGCATTTGGTCCCTTTACCCTTCGAGTAGTAAATGTATGGAACTTCGAAGTTAGAAAGTTGGCATGTCGTGGGCATAGAGAAAAATTTAGTTGCAACCGGAATAGTACTGTTTTGCTATCCTGTTATAATACCATGAGTATAAATTTGGCTTTTGTTTTGTGACAGGGCAGCTTGAAAAGAGACTTTATTATTATATGGGTCGTCGACTCGTAAGTTGATAGATACGCAGGAGAAACCAGAATGGCAGAATAATGAATGAGATTGCTTTTACAACTCTCAACTTTTCATTCATTATTTGTCCCCTTGAATCTTTAACGATTAATTACAATTTGTTTTTTTTACCAATAGAGGAACATCTTCTAATCCCACTTTTCTACTCATGAATTGATTTATTGACTTTAATATCTTTATTCCTTAAAAACAGTAACTGCACCCACTTGAGTCCTTGACAACAAGATGCAGTCTAATTATAAAGTACTAGCACACTTATTTATTTATTTTTAAATATGCCAGATTATAATAAGGTACAACTTTATAACATATAAAGTTGAATTCAACAAAGTTTGTGAGTGTAACATTATTGGAAAATGTGTCACACCCAAAATTTCCTTGGGAGATGATTTTTTTTTATGGAAGTTTCACTAAAACACCCAAAATGGGGGCTGAAATTATAAAAAAACTTAACACCCAAAACACTTTATAAACACACCCAAAACCTCATCATTACACACACTCAAAACCCATTTATAAACACGCCCAAAAAATATACAATTGTTGATTTTGGGTGTGTTTTTATGTTTTAAATAGTACTTGGGTTTTTTTATAAATACATGTCTAGGATTGGGTTTATTTATAAATTTGTATTTTTTTGTTTATGCTTATACGAAATTTTGGGTCTGAGAGGAAACTGAAGATCAGCAGGAAAAACAAAATAAAGAACCAGCAGGTGGAGGGGATGAGGGAAAAAAAAAGGGGGGCGGAAACTGAGAAGGGGCTTGGGGAACTCACAGAGGATAAAGGGGTCTCGTAGCAGATGAGAGGCAACAATGCAGGCACGGAAAGACCAACAAAGCTAATATTGCAAACACTACAAAACAACATAAAATGAACATAACCTGTGCAGGGGAATTGGTAGCTTGCACCTGTTAATGGACATGTAGATTGAAAGTGCTCAATGTACAGATGCATACATGGTCTTTACATAGAGGAAACAAACAAGAAAATACCAAAAACATTGCTTGGCTCTTTACCTCAAAGCCAATATTTGCTAGAAATCGTCCTCTAATTCTCGTAAATTTTGTCACCGCATATTTCATATCAATCCTCTCCACAGGTGAATCTTGGATGAATGCCATGTCTAAAGACACAAGATATACACTTCTCGTTCAACAAAATGATCATCTTCATTGCCTAGCAAATTTGTGTCACCAACTTAACTGTTGAACCATGTAATGAGTCACCAACCCATCTCTCAAACCCAGTTCTCCTGCAAAATGTTCATCTTTCGGCTTTATTCTAGTGAAAATTTCAGTTAACATTATGCCATAACTGCAAACGTTACCTCTTGTAGATACTACACCCCCTTCTGTAATAAGCTCTGAGAAAGAATAAGAACAACATTCATTGCTGAACTCAAAATAGGTTTCTTCACATAATAAAATAATAAAACCATATCCAAATGAAGAAGAAAACGGTCATAACCTAGATGATAGATTAGAAACGTCACATAGTTCCACGGCCATATATCCAAATCGTAGAAACAGTCTTGATTGGTATTGTAGATGCTCTGTTTCGCTAGAGTTTGGAAATGCCAATGTCAGATACAGGTGCAACCATACCTTCCTCAAGAAGGACAATGCTTTGGCTTTTTATCACAGCGAGGCAGATACTGAATAACCATGATGGAGATATGCAAATATTGAGGCAACATCCACCACTACCTTTAGTCCCTGCAATCTATCTTGAAAACAGCTGTGAGAGTAAAGCCATTTCTCAAGGCTCCCATTAGGCGTTTATTCTAGTGCCAAGGATCTTGATGAGATTTTTGTGGCAAACATTACGCACTGTTTCACAATCTGAGTCAAAATTCCTTGGTGATGTATACGAACTGAAATTAAACATTCTCCACCAAAAAAATTGCTTTCCTCAAACCTCTTAGTGCCGTGCAGAAGTTCATGTAGGAAGTCCACTTTTTCAGCATCGCCAAATATAAGATATCTGTTGCCGTTGATACTTTGTCAATACAAGTGCACAACTAGTTCAGGTACATTGACGTAGACAATATAATAGTCACCTTCGAGCCATAGCTAGTATCTATTATGAGCTCATCCTTGGTTCTTCTTCAATCACCATATGCCAGTCATTAGTATTTCTTGCGATCACCAAAAGTTGTTGCATGAACAATCACCATTTCTAAAATGATGAAAACGGATTTTATCTCTCATGACAATCTCCCTTTTGGTAGTTTTAGAAACAAATTTACAGAAACTATGGCAGTCGTCACAAATCCTCAGATTCTTCACCACCCTAATTGGGCATTCAGGCCTTAGATTTATAAGAATAAATGCAACGGCTAGCTTTTCACTGTGACTGTTCAGTGTGGCTTCCTTTTCCTCTATGTCTACATCATGAAACACGGAGCTGGTATTTGGAATGTAACCTATACTCTTCACTTCTCTCAATAAGTCCTCCAACTTCTCATATATTTCTGATGACTCCGGGTGCAATCTGTCTCCACCATAGAAAATGTGGAATTTCCCATTACATTCAACGGAGCTGTAGGCAGCTATTTTCTTAACACCTCTTTTTCTCATTCTGAGCCTCACCTTATCAACAAAATCCCATCTTCCAGCAGCCGCATATATGTTTGACATTAAGACATGATATGAACCAATATCTGGAGCTACTTCAAAAAGTAAATCAGCTGCATGCTGCCCCAGTTCAACATTTTGGTGGATTGTACAGGCACCCAATAAAGCTCCCCACACCCCAGAATCCGGTTCAATTGGCATACTTCTTATGAAATTATAGGCCTCCTCAAGATGTCCTGACCGGCCTAGAAGGTCAACCATACATGCATAGTGCTCTATTTTTGGTCGAATATTCTTGTTACCAGATTGGACCATGTGACTAAAATAAGCCTTGCCTTCATTTACAAGCCCAGCATGGCTACATGCACACAAAACTCCAAGATAAGTGACATGGTTTGGTTGCACTCCATGTTTTTGCATCCTCGAAAACATATTCAATGCCTTTTCACTCTCCCCATTTATGGAATACCCTATTACCATAGTGCTCCAGGAAATAACATTTCTCTGAGGCATATCCTCAAACAACGCCTCAGCCATGTCTATGCTACCACATTTCACATACATATCAAGCCGTGCATTGGCAACAATTATATTGCAAACAATCCCATATTTTCTCATGATCCCATAGATTTCTTGCCCATTCTCCAAACACCCTAATTGACCACAAGCTGAAAAGGCACTCACAACACTAACAGCATCAGGCTTAATTCCAGCTCCATTCATCTGGCGAAACAATGCAAGAGCCTTACCCGCATTGCCATTTTGTACACAAGCCGCAATGAAAGCATTCCAAGCAATCAAATCCCTCTCAACCATAGTTTCAAATAGAAAATCCGCCATACCCAATTCTCCGAATTTCGCAAACATTAGTATCAGCTCAGTCCTCACCATAGCAACGAATTCCAACCCATATTTCACCACATGGGCAAGGACAGCTGATCCAGCCCATAATTCGGGCAGTTCAGCACATGCCTTGACCACAAACGTGTAAGTAAACTGGTCAGGACGAACACCCAGAAGGTGCATTTGTCTATAAACAAAAGCCGCCTCCGTAAAAATACCATTTTTGACATAGGCTTTGATAAGGGTGTTCCATAGAAAAACGCGTGGCTTGTGCATTTGGTCGAATAATTGGCGGGCATAGGACATGTCCCCTAAGAGTGTGAGATTGGTGAGAAGTTGGGTGATGAGGCTGTTCTTGATAGAGAGGCCTGTGGTGAGGATGAGGGCATGAATTTGCTTGAGGTGGTTTGGGTAGGAAGAGCATGATTGTAAGAGGGTGGTGAAGACTTGCTTGGTCAGAGCAATTGGTGGATTGGAGGGGTTTTGGGTTTGGGTGAGAGAAGAAAATTGGAGAATTGAGGCAAGTGGTTGAAGTGAGAGACTGAACCAAAGCTTGGTCATGCCCATCATGCAATGGCTTCTTCTGGAGCTCCATGGTATTTGCATCACTCTTCTCATTCTCTCAACTAACCGAATTGTCGTTGGTTGTTTTTAAGAGGAACAGAGGAGGACCCAAACGTTGTCGTTTTTAGCTGCCATTTGACTAAACTGACATTTCATCGATTTTGTCCGGCTGCCAATACGAGGGCATTTCAGTAATTTCGAGTCTAGCGGGTGAAATGTTCTCTCAGCCACAGCGAGAAGTTTCTCTCAGTCCTCTGCACTGCTCAGCGCTCTCAGGCTCTGAGCCATGGCTGCCCAATCACCATGTGGATGGTCATGGAACTCACCGACCCACGCCACCGCCACAGTTAAATGCTCTTCTGACTCCTCGAGTCTCTCTTCCTTCCACTCAGCTCCACAAAAACGACCTCGTTTCACGGCTTCTTCTTCTTCTCCTTCTTCTAGTAGCTCTAAATCTACCGCCAAGCAGGGACTGAGAAAGCCCCCGAAATTGGATAGTGCGAGTCCGAATCCAAGCAAATTAGGTAAAAGTTCAAATGGAAATCGATCTGAAGACGAAAATAAAGAATAACGACCCTAAGCTTCAAGTCCTTCTTTGGGAAACGATCTCTGTGGCGAAGGATATTTTTCGCCTCTAAGAAAGTTCTTTTGAGCATCATTTTGCTCAACGTTTATGAGGGTTTGTTTTTTTTTTTTTTTTTTTTTTTTTTTTTTTTTTTTTTTTTTTTTTTTTTTTCTTTCCCCCCCCCCAGTTGAGCATTATTAAAGTTAATATTTCCATAATATAATCTCTGCCTTATTTCTGGTTGCTCATGAAATTAAAGAAAAGAACAAAAATTTGTTACATTTAACAATGTGTAATGGTAGCTCAAGAAAAATATAGGGTAAAGGGCAAGTGAAGTTGCTGAACAGAAAGATGATTTAGAGTTTTAGTGGGAGAATCAATAAGAAAGTACAAATATGTCAGTGTGGAAACTTGAAAGAACTCGTTGTTCAATCACAAGTAAAAATTATAGATGTTCCTGCTAGGAAGTAATAGCTTACCGTTCTTTGGTATTGAGTTGGCAGAACTTATTTTCTATTATTCAAAAGAAGTTTAATCACTGATCCATAATGCAAACCAACTGCAGCCTTTTAAACCTCTGGAAGTGAAAGCTATTTGGGTTATGAAGTCCAGGCTCGTATGGTGTATTGAAAGTGCATGAATCACAATATTAATCTGTTCCACTCATCTTTTTCACTTCTTGTAGCCAGTAACTTCTCGGTTGTGAAAGAGGTGGAAGCGATCATGGACCCAGCAGCCTTTACTGTTGTTCGGTTTGCTGTGTCGGCCATTCCATTCATCCCATTTGTGTTCCGAGCACGAGGTGATATTCATACCCGTAATGCAGGGATTGAGTTGGGTTTCTGGGTCAGTCTAGGGTATCTCATGCAGGCTCTTGGATTGCTAACATCAGATGCCGGTCGCGCATCATTTATATCCATGTTCACTGTAAGTCTCTTAATTAACCTTATATGCATATATAGGAGTGCAAATTGATTGTTTGCTGGGTGTACCTAAAGGTACAGTGTTGGCATTTTCTGGGTGAATTTAACAGGTAGTTATAGTTCCATTGCTTGATGGTATGTTAGGAGCAATAGTCCCCGCTCGTACCTGGTTCGGAGCTCTCATGTCTATCATAGGAGTTGCAATGCTGGAATCCAGCGGATCTCCACCCAGTGTAAGTTGTCTTACACTTGATAAGATGTTTATAGAATCATCTGTCATTTTTTATATAATTGGTGATTGGTCGTTCTCTCTCTTGCTCTTAGTAAATTGCATGCAACCAAACCTTTTCAGGTTGGAGATTTGTTGAACTTCTTAAGCGCCGTGTTTTTTGGTGTCCATATGTTAAGAACTGAACACATTTCAAGAAATACGAAAAGAGAAAATTTCTTACCTCTGCTCGGTTATGAGGTTAGTATATATTGTCATTATGTCCATGTTTGCTGGATATGGAATGAATTCTACTTGTTAATATTCATCGGTGGTCTTCTAAGGTTCTAAGATTCCATTTAGGTATGCGTTGTTGCTATCATGTCAACAATGTGGTACTGCGTTGGATCAGGGTCCGGGGGCCTCCAAGATTGTAACCCATCATTGTGGACGTGGAAGATATTCTGGGAGTGGATGGTAGTGTTTCCATGGATACCTGCACTGTACTCGGGCATATTCTCGACTGGTCTATGCTTATGGGTAGAGGTATGTGCAAATGCTCATCTGAGGTTGTCAACCATTTGATCTTGTGTTGCTGTGTTTCCTGGGATTCATTGGATACACAGGTTATGTCCAATACGAAATGAACATTTGTAAATTATAGGACCTCTGGTTGAGGATACTCCTTACGCTCTTGCTAAACCAAATAAATCCCAAGCATTATTTGAAACGTTTTTAGCTTAAATTTTAAAATAGAGAATTACTTTTACAGATGGCCGCAATGCGTGATGTATCAGCCACAGAAACAGCAATAATTTATGGCTTGGAGCCAGTCTGGGGTGCTGGTTTTGCTTGGTTTCTCCTTGGGGAAAGGTGGGGCACTACTGGTTGGATTGGGGCTGCACTGGTGCTAGGTAAAGTAAATTCAGCTATTATTATTAAACTACCAATTACCAAATATTACCTTACCATTAGTAGGTGCGATGCTTATGATTTAACATATCTACTTTCGGATTATACATCTGCTGCTCACCTTCTAACCAGCTTTTATCTTAGTAAAATTGAGTATTTACGTGGTTATATAGGATTTCAGTAAAGCTTAAATTGGTCAAATTCAAGCTTGAGAAGAATAAGAATTTCAATAATTAGGTTCAGTATGTTATTTAAAAATCCATGAGTTAAAGTTTAAATGATTTTATTGGAATAGGAACGTACATATCCTCTTCATTGTGCTCTTTCCCAGGATAGAAGAATTAAATTCTTTTGTTATTAAATGATTTTAAAGATGTGCTTCTGAAACCCTGCACCTGCCTGTTGTTGCTTGAAATGAGAAGGGTAGTGTGCTCAACTAGTCGGTTTGTCAACTAGATGTTCTATTGGCTAAAAGTTTGACAAGTTAACCTTAATGCGTACCGATATTCAAACTCAAACAGGGAAATACTGATTAGTTGATGTTTATAATTATTAGTGGTTGCTTTCCATATGCATTTACATGTCTGCTTCTTGTTTTATGTGCAGGTGGAAGCTTAACAGTACAGATCTTTGGATCGACATCTCCTGCAAAGTCTTACAAAGAGGGAAAGGACAGTAAGAAACTCGATTACCCTGTGGTTTCAGATAAACACAATCGCCTTTCTGCCTCTCCAGTTACTGTCAGTTCCAGAAAGGATATTCCTGATATGCTAAATAAGTGAGGAGCAAGATCCCATGTGTTCCAAAGATAATTCTGTATAATCCATTTTACTTCTCCTTGTAATTATTTAATTGTTAACTGGATCTCAATTTTGGACAGCTGATGGGTGGATGGTTGAGGGCTCTCAGTCTCAGCCTTATATGTATATACATATGCTGATTTGCTGATATGCACAATTACAGATTACTTCATACATTATTTTAAGGAATGACAAAATATGGTGCTACTTCGAAACTGGAATATTTTTCCGACAATATTGCTTCTTTCTTCAAATTATTGCGAGCTATTAATTTTAAATTCTGGAAATGGGAGTTGGTTATGACTTTTATATTCTGATTAAAAAGAACCAATCCAATTAGCCCAAAAGCCCCAAAAAAATAAAAAATAAAATAAAAATAAAAGAATTATAAATTTTAAGTGTGTACCTATAATAATATTACAAATTTAGTATTTCTTAATAATGCTGGTGATGGATGATGAGTAAGATCATTCGTCCCTGCCTGGCCACTTGATTATCTCTATTTTCTTATTGCCAAGTTGTCTTAAGACGTGGGGTTTGCCCAGATTTTGGTGATGATGAAATCAAATCAAGTGAATTATAATTAATTAAGTGGAAGTAGTTTTCATAAGTCTCATTATAGCACGATTGCCGAATTAAAAATATTTACAAAGAACTCTCGAGTATCATGAGTCACATTTTATAATTATGAATGGATAATTCTAATTTAATCGAATGTCAATATTAACGGTTCACTACACAACTGTCAATTCATGCTGATACATTACATGCCTTTGCCGATACTCAATACTTTCTCATATTATATAGATCTTTTTCGTACAGGTTTAGTGGGCAGTACTGGTACCCTTCGCGTGAATATATTTAAATTCTGCCTTCTAAAAATATCAATAAAGATATGAAATTGAACGCAAATGTAACCCATTATATTGAGATATTATAGAATATTATAGTAGTATGGTTATGTTGATATATCTTATACACGTGTTATAATATAAGATGTACCGCATAGTACTCACAATTTTTGTTTTTGAGATTGATTCACTCCGTAATTAGTAATTACTTTCTCATTTGGGACAGTCTAGTAACTGTTTTGACCCAGTCTTTGCTTTCTTGGAGCGTCGGCCACCACTGTAACTCAAAAATAAAATTAGAAAAAATAAAAGAAACACTGTAAACAAAACTTTTATTACTTGTTTTCTCCGCATATATTGTGATCATTAGTAATGTGTTTCATGTGTTTCGTGAGTTTCATGATGTGAGGCAAGGCAAGCACCTGCTACCACTTAAAGTTATAATATAAAATATCATGCAATTTTACTGTAATGACTTGTATTTAAGGAGAAGCAAGTTATTCGTTGTTCAACATTCTGCCTTATACATATCAAATTTCAAAACTGATAAGCATAAGCATGGCTCTGCACGGTTTTATTGGGACTCAAATAGAACTCAAGTCACCTGCTGATAAGTTCTACAAAATCTTCAAGGGCCAAGCCCACCTCATCCCAAATGTTTCTTCTGGCCATATCAAAGGCGTTCAGGTGCATGAAGGAGATTGGGAAACGCACGGCTCTGTTAAGATCTGGAATTATCATCTAGGTAATTAAGTAACTATGGTGACCCACTTAGGACAAGTTTAGTCATTTCCTGTTTCATTGTTTACTATGTCATATGGGTATGAAAAAAACATCATAAGATGAGCTTATATATATTTTGTTGTTGTGAAATAAATGTGACAGGCGACGAAGTTGGGACATTCAAGGAAAAGGTCGAGTACGACGACGAGAACAAGGCGGCAACTCTGACTGGATTGGACGGAGAAATGTTCAAGTATTATAAGAGCTTTAAGGGCATCTATCAGTTCGCTCAAAAGGGTAATGTTAGCGTTGCTAACCTGACGATTCACTATGAGAAAAGGAATGCTGATGTTGAAGCTCCAGATAGATTTGTTGGTCTCATGGTTACCCTCGTCAGGGATCTTGATGCTCACTTTGCCAAGGCATAATCGAATATGAAAAGCATACATATGTATGTATGTTAATGCGTGCTTTTTCTGGTTAATACTATAAGTAATGCTCTGTTTTATGTAAGTTTTTCTTTGTGGCAAGTGCATGAAGGGATTTCATATGTGATGTATTAGCTATGTGGGTTATCACATACATAAAATAAAAATGCGTGGTGTGCTATATATATATGTCCAGTTCTTGCTCATCATTCATATATCAAGTACAACATAGACTTAAAAATCAACAATATCCAACTGGTATATGTTGCGCGCTTGGATTCAAAGTACTTAAAAGATCAAAATTTTTGAAGTATGTTGCGTGCTTGGATTTGAATTTCACATTGAACACTTAGCCTTGTAGATGAAAAAGAAACAAGCTAAAAGTAGTAAAAAAGTAGTAGAAGCAGCTGGAAGCTCTTCCCTTCATCATTTGAGCTCTCTTCCCTCTTCGTCTCTCTCTCTTTCTTTATCTCTTTGCCCTTCTTCCCTGTGAAATTGCTGGTTTACTTTAATATTAACAATCGACATAAAGAAAAGAAAGTGTTTCTGGATGCGACTAATGAATGACAGACTCAACAAAGAAAAAAGTTTTCACCTCACTAGTAAAAAATAACCCTTGCGCGACCACATTTTGCGTGACGAAAAAACTATTTGTCGCTCAAAGTTACTTCGCGCGACGAAACTCAAAACTTCGTCGCTCAAAACCTTGCACGACCAAATTTTGCGTTACGAAAAACAATACGTCGCCCAAAGTGACTTTGCGCGACGACAATACATCGTCGCTCAAAGTCTTGCGCGGCCAAATTTTGCGCGACGAAAAACAATTCGTTGCGCAAAGTGACTTTGCGCGACGATGTAACAATAAACTTTGTCGTGCAAAGTCCTTATAAAAATAAATAAATTAAAATAAATTATTTTTTAAAATCTTTGCATGGCGTAATCCAAACATTCCGTCGCTTAAACCAATCTATTTTTGTTTTTTATTTTGTATGCATAACACTTAAGAAATTAAACAGTATATATATTTTTATTGAGTAGCTTTAATTTTTTTTATTTTAGATCAGATTTTTGTTAGAAAAATATATTATTGTTGTTTGGATTGGGTTTTTGTTAGAAAATATATTTTATAAATTGATGATCGAATTAGTTCATTGTATTCATATAGGGTCAATGAGTGTAGCTGTAAAAAATCATCAAAATCGGAGTTAAAATAACCGTTAAATTGTGAATTTTCATTTATAACCATCGAAAAGTTTTGTCTCATTACTTTATCTCTGAATGTTTATTTTTTCCGATTTTTGGCGTATATGATCTTGAAGTATAAACAAACAAGTTTGACGGTTGGATCGTTGAAACTAGTTTTGTTGAATGCGTATGCCATCAAAACAATATATTCACTAACAATTAAGAGTTTATTTATACTTTCGTTAAATATAACATAAGATTTTGTGGTATCCACTAGTGTAAATATTTTAAATTGAAGATCAAATTTAGTCATTGTATTCATATAGGATCAAGGAGTGTAGCTGTAAAAATCATCAAAATCGGAGTTAAAATAACCGTTAAATCATGATTTTTCATTTATAACCGTCGAAATTTTTTGTCCCATTACTTGATCTCTGAATATTTATTTTTTCCGATTTTTGGTGTATATGATCTCGAAGTATAAACAAACAAGTTTGATGGTTGGATCGTTGAAACTAGTTTCTTAAAATGTGTATGCCATCAAAATAAAATATTCACTAACGATTAAGAGTTTATTTATATTTCGTTAAATATAACGTAAGATTTTGTGGTATCCACTAGTGTAAATATTTTAAATTGAAGATCAAATTCAGTCATTGTATTCATATAGGGTCAAGGAGTGTAGCGGTAAAAAATCATCAAAATCGGAGTTAAAATAATAGAAATTTATAAATAAGCCCAATCCTAGACATGTATTTATAAAAAAACCCAAGCACTATTTAAATATAGAAACACACCCAAAATCAACCCCAAAGTCAACTTTTTGGGTGTGTTTATAAATGGATTTTGAGTGTGTGTAATGATGGGTTTTGGGTGTGTTTATATGTTTAAATAGTGCTTGGGTTTTTTTATAATTTCAACCCCCATTTTGGGTGTTTTAGTGAAACTCCCTTAAAATAACCGTTAAATCATGATTTTTCATTTATAACCGTCAAAATTTTTTGTTCCGTTACTTGATCTCTGAATGTTTATTTCTTCCGATTTTTGGCGTATATGATCTCGAAGTATAAACAAACAAGTTTGACGATTGGATTGTTGAAACTAGTTTCTTAGAATGCGTATGCCATCAAAACAATATATTCATTAACAATTAAGAGTTTATTTATACTTTCGTTAAATATAACATAAGATTTTGTGGTATCCACTAATGTAAATATTTTAAATTGTAGATCAAATTCAGTTATTGTATTCTTATAGGGTCAAGGAGTGTAGCTGTAAAAAAAATCATCAAAAATTGGAGTTAAAATAACCGTTAAATCGTGATTTTTCATTTATCACTACTACAAAAATCGAAATAGACGACGGGAAACCACCGTCGTGTAAAAGGATTTCGCCCGGTCGTGAAATCGACTGCCGTCTATTTGGGTTTTAAACTACGACGGCTTTTTACCGTCGTTGTTTATCTGTAAAGATGACAGTTTTTAAAGAAAATCGTCGTTGTTTAGAGGTAAAGATCATTAATTATAGGAGGAAAGACGACTGTTTTTAATAAAACCGTCGTGTATTGTATGTAAAGATGACGATTTTTTTATGAAAACCGTCGTGGATTGTTTATAAAGACGTCATCTTTACATACAATAGACGACTTTTTTTTATAAAAAGCGTCATCTTTAGCGTCATCTTTACATACAATAGACGACGGTTTTTTATAAAAAGTGTCATATTTACATACAATAGACGACGGTTTTTTTTTTATAAAAAGCGTCATCTTTACGTACAATAGACGATGGTTTTTTTTATAAAAAGCGTCATCTTTATGTACAATAGACGACGATTTTTTTTATAAAAAGCGTCATCTTTACATACAATAGACGGCGGTTTTTTTTATAAAAAGCGTCATCTTTACGTACAATAATGATTTTTGATTTTATATGATGCTATACAACGATTTTAACTAGAAAACCAACCATAATGCTTTATCAAAAATAGTTTCTTTCATAAAACTTGAAGATTCAATAGTTATTACATAGTTAACCAATCTTTATTCTACAATAAACATAATTCCTAACAAGACCTACGTACTCCTAATCCAAGCATTCCTCATCCAAACATACAAATGATGCACAACTGAAGTCTCCTCCATCATCCCTGTAAATAAATCAAAATGACAAAGAGAGAAAAAAAGAAGAAGCTAAGATTATAAACATAAAAAATTAGGTGGAAGAGAAATTTTACCATTGGTCCATATTTCCATAGAAAACTTGTAAAATGAGCATAAAAAAGACCATCGAGAACCTGCAAATTTTCAACAACAAAAAAACATACGACTCACATAGAAAACCTGCAAAAGAAAAAGTTATAAATCTGCAAGCTTCCTCCTCATCTTCTGATAACCAAATCAGAAAATCTAAAAAGAAACCAGAAATAATAAAAAATATGTAAACAAATCAGACAAATCAAGAGAGACAAAATCTGAAATTAGGGATACAAATAACATACCAAAAACGCAAAGAGACTAATCCAGAATTCAATAGCAAGATATAGAAGGGTATTAAGAGATTAGGTGACTTTCAAATCAAACCTTTCAACCAGCTTTGATTCTCAAACATAGAACATCCCTCTACATCTTATGGATTTGCTAAGACCTCAATCTCTCAACTCCTTCATTGATATCGTTCTTTTGATGATTTTGTAGAGAGTTTCATGAGGGTGATTTAGAGAGTGCATGAGGGTTTCAAGGAGGGAGACATAAGGTTTTCAGAGACGGGAGAAAATCTGAAAATTTGACAAGCGCAAATTCACTTAAGTAGACTTTTTTTAGCCTGTTTTAAAAGACGACGCTTGTTAATGAGAGATAAGATTTTCAAAGATGGGTGAAAATTTGAAAATTTATCGAGCGCAAATTCACTTAAGCGGCCATTTTTTAGAGTGTTTTAAAAGACGACGCTTTTTTTTAAAAGAAAATTTGTCATCTTTCCATATAATATACGACGGTTTTTTTTATAAAAAGCGTCATCTGTACATATAATAGACTACGGTTTTTATAAAAAGCGTCATCTTTACATACAATAGACGTTTTTTTCCACTACACTCCTTGACCCTATATGAATACAATGACTGAATTTGATCTTCAATTTAAAATATTTACACTAGTGGATACCACAAAATCTTATGTTATATTTAACGAAAGTATAAATAAACTCTTAATTGTTAGTGAATATTTTTTTTTTATGGCATACGCATTTTAAGAAACTAGTTTTAACGATCCAACCGTCAAACTTGTTTGTTTATACTTCGAGATCATCTACACCAAAAATCGAAAAAAATAAACATTCAGAGATAAAGTAACGGGACAAAAAATTTCAACGGTTATAAATGAAAAATCATGATTTAACGGTTATTTTAACTCCGATTTTGATGATTTTTTACCGCTACACTCCTTGACCCAATATGAATACAATGATTGAATTTGATCTTCAATTTAAAATATTTACACTAGTGGATACCACAAAATCTTATGTCATATTTAATGAAAGTATAAATAAACTCTTCATTGTTAGTGAATATATTGTTTTGATGGCATACGCATTCTAAGAAACTAGTTTCAATGATCCAACCGTCAAACGTGTTTGTTTATACTTCGAGATCATATACGCCAAAAATCGGAAAAAATAAACATTCAGAGATCAAGTAACGGGACAAAAAATTTCGACGGTTATAAATGAAAAATCATGATTTAACGCTTATTTTAACTCCGATTTTGATGATTTTTTATCGCTACACTCGTTGACCCTATATGAATACAATGACTGAAT